AGGATGAATATCTCCCTTTAATATTGTAATAAATTTTCTTTATTCCAGATGATATTTTGCCTTCTAATTCTTAAATTTTCTTGATGATCCCACTACTATAAATATTTTTGTAATTTATAAAACTTCATTAAAAAAAATATTTTAGTTTTTATCTAAACTAATTTTATTTTTACTGGATTAATATATTATTATTTAACAATAAAAATCTCACAACTAGTTATGATTTTAGAAGGCTAATTTATATAGTAATGGTATATTTTGCAACTATTAAAAAATTTATAATTTTTCATAAGTGAGAAGAGTTGTTTGATTTTTATAATTAGAGGTGAGTCATGTAAAACAAATCTTTCATAAAACAACTCTATCTTCTTGTTTGTTTAAGCAAACCTGTAAGGGATGGTAATGAATATACCTAGAATATGCTTGAATATTTTAGGATATTCTATCATCCAATGGTGGTTATTCATTTAAATTAATTTCATATTTATAATTTATAAACATGTTTATAATTTATAAACTTTTCTAACCACTTTGTATCATCATGAGCATGTGTGGTTTTTGGAGCATGAGCCAAAAAAACCATGTAATGTATAGTGCATTGGTTGGGTTCTATGTCCAGAATGGCAATTGCAAGGGAGCTCTCAAAGTTCCATTGCCAAGGCCCTCAATGCAGCCACCACCATGAAGCAGAGAATCTGGAGCTCCAGGGCTGGATGGATGAGGCAGCCAGTGATCCATGTGAAGGGAAGAATGAAAACGAGGAGGAGTGCTCATAGGGGGCTCCCAGCCTCAATTGCAACAAGCATGAAGTATTGAAACCAGCTCGGAGATTTGAGCAAGGCCCCCTCGAGATCAATCATGATGCTATCGTTGTTCCTGGCCACTGTATTCTCCACTAGCTCCAATGGATTGCTCTTGTCCCTGGGAAGCATCAAGAAAATCATATTTGAACTAGTGAATTGATTGAGAATTGCCTCTCCCTGAAGGTTTGAGTTGAGAGCCATGATCCAGGATCAGAAACCCACCAAGGCAGTACTGATCCAGAATCAATCAATCAACCTGGAACACATCCATGGATGGAGCTTAGATCTTCCTCCATATGGCTGCTAGAAAACAAAGATCAGTGGAAGAAAGAGAGTCTTTTCAAAGAGGAGTCATTGGGAAGAGCAAATTGAGGCTCAATTTATGGATAGTGACCAAACCTTGAGTTTTGGAGGAAACCATGACATAAACATTGGGCTTTGACTTGGATGCATGAGTCCACACAAATGACAATCTTTCTATTCCTATTCCTTCCTCTTTTTTAAAGCAACAGATGGAAGGAGATTGTAGCAGCTGAGGAGTGGAGTCAAGTTGCTTCTAGCTTTAGCTTGGATGATGATGAGAAGTATCTAGCAAGGATGTTTACAACAAGGAGAGTTGAAAAGGTTTGTCACATGTGGAATTGGTATATTATCTACCCTAACCCTAATTGATGGATTTTAATTTTTAGCTCAAAGTTTTTTTTTGTTTAAGTGAAGGCTAGTTTATTTTTGGCTCTTTTTACTAATAAAATTAACTAAAGATAATTCTGTTTAATCAATCATATAGATATGTCAAATTTTGATTGTGCTATGGATGTTGTTCAGTTGTCACCCCCTGAGGATATGTCAACAGAAACAAATTATTATGAAGGTTTGGTTTTTCTCTTTATTCTTTAGTATTTCTTGATTTATTTCTTTTTGGTTTTGTAGTTTCACAAGCAAAGAGGACAAAGCTGACCATCCTAAAAGCCACTATTGCATCACTTAACTTTGAAAAAGTAAATTCAACCAAGATTCTTGAGTTGAAGATTTTATCTATGTATGGTTTTGAAATCCTTTTTTTTCTGTAGTTTTGATTTACTTTTTGCCTAGGTATGGAACTTATATAGTTCATCTTGCACAGAACACTCTATGAAGTGCAAAATACTTAATTTATATAATGGATTGTATAGATATGCATGGCTTGCAAACTTTAACTATATATAGTGATTCATCTATGTGTGTGTGATTATATAATAAATTTATGGTTGGCAAATGTTTCTCACTTACAAGATTTGTAATTTAAAAAAAAAATTAACAAGATTGTAATTATCTCACTTCAAATGGATTGAATGATAGAAAAACCTAATTTACCACCATGGAAGTTCAGAAAAGTTCTTTATATTACAGATTCTTCTATCATTCAAATTATAAATGATTTTGATGTTAAACTAAGATTACAGCCAACTAAAGCCAACTTCATCTTTAATGGCTACTAGAGTTTATCCACAAGCTATACATGCTGTTATAATCAACATTGGTGTTTTTCCTAAAATAAAGATTGTTTTTTCTTATAAGGACATAACTATGGTAATGTTTTTTCCTATTTAATTTTCTATTTCTAAGATATTTTTCACAGCCCTTTATGCATCTAGAGTGTGAAGAGCAGTATCATCATATTGTACCAGATTTATATGCTGGATACATGCCAAAGTTTTTATTTTTTAATATTATGAAAAGCATGAGTGTGTCAGGTGATTTAGCAACACTTGGAAGTACTTTATTTTTGCTACTAGTTGATTCAAACAAAATTCAGAGGCTCAATGAAGTTTATAGAAACACACCGTGGGCTCACTTCTAAAGACACCACCCATGGAAAAATAATTTTAAAATCTATGAACTTACTGAAATAATGAGGCAAAAATATTATATAATCTTTATAAAAGATTTAAATAAAATAAAAATAGGAGAACAAACAGATAAGAAGCTAGAATAACAAATCATCACAGATACATATAACACAAATATTATTCTATATTTGCAACTAATGAACAAGTAAAAGAACATAATGAAAAATAATACAACACATACAAGGTAAAGATATAATTATAGAAGCATAAGACAAATATGGAAATTTCTGTCCTATATATTTCACACTGCCAGATGACACAAGAAAAACACAAGGAGTACATAAAATATTACATTTTAAAAGAAAATGGCAATTGAAATAACACAAAATATAGCAACAGAAGATGGATTAATAAATGGAGCAGATGGAGTATTACAAGATGTAACCCAGATTGAAGAAGAACAAATAATGTGGATAGAATTCCCAAATATAAAAACAGGTGAAAAATCAAGAGCTAAAGAAAACATAATAATAAAGAAAAATAATGAAAAAACTGGACACCAATAAAAAAAACTAACAAGAATAATAAATATTACTAAAAATATAAATTATGTTATAAGTAGAACCCAATTTCCAGTACAACCATGTGCAGGAAGAACAATACATAGAACACAAGGATCAACAGTTATGCAATTAAGATATGACCCATATAAAATAAAATATCCAGAACAAGCATATACAGCATTATCAAGAGCATAAACACTAAAAGGTAGACATTTATATAGACCAAATGAACATAAACATATTAAAATCAATAAAGATGCAGTTAAGGAAATAATAAGAATGACAGCAGAAGCACCATGGCAAATTGATTTAATAGATTTACAAGAAGAAAAAATAGCTAACCAAATAATTATACAAATTTTAAATACAAGATCTATTACTGCACATCAAGAAGATATAAAGAGTGATTCACATTTATTAACATCCGATATAATATGTATGCAAGAAGTAAGAACCCAAAAACATGAGGATTTATATTTTAATAAATATAAATCATATATACATGAACAACCCCCACATATAGCAATATTGCATACAAATGACTACAAATCAGAAATAGTAGAACATTTTAAAACAGAAATAATGGCAATGTCATATATATCACTAGAATTTTTTTTAAAAAATTACAGATAATAAATTTACATAAAAAATCTGGAACAAATATACAAATATTCATAAAACAACTACAAAAATATATACAGAAAATATATATAAAAAACCATTAATAATTACAGAAGATTTTAATATTGACTACCAAAAAGAAGAAGCAAAACCACTTCAAATAGTAATGGAGAAAGAAGGATACATATAAATAATAAAACACAATACACGTAATAATAAATAATAGATCATATATGGATAAAAGATATAATATATACAAAAGCAGGAATTGCATATTGGACAGATCATAACAAATTATATATCGTAATAAAAAATATTTAAAAACAAAAGCAAGCCAAGCGTTGCTACAACACAATGCACAGCAATTTTATTCTTTCATTATTTTAAAATAAATAATAGAGGTTCTTTTATTCTTGTTCTTCTTCTTATTTAGAAATGAATACTTGGCCTAGTATATAAAATTCCAAATTTCCACATGAATTTCTTAAAGCTGTTAAAATGTGTCAGACACATTTAATTTAGTAGAATGGACTTTCATCTTTCTCTCATTGTTATGCTTTTGATTGCTTTGGTGAAAGCACAGGTCTTTTTGAATGAGTTTAATTTTTTTTCTATAACAAAACTATTCCCAAAATCTTATTTGGCTCAGGATTGTGGCTTCTTCTCCAGGACGTGTGGGAGCTATCAAATTACAAGGCTTGGTTACTTTTGGGCTACTTGCTTCAGAGAAAATCGAGCCTACTCAGTGAATTGGTATATCATTCTCAACTATTACGTAGAAAATGTGAATGGAGAGCTCAAACCCGGTGGCTCAGGCTTTGCACAAACATGTGATGGCCTACAAATCGTAAAATTTGACACTGAATCTTCAGATCCCAACCACAGAAGGACAGGAATTGGAGGCTATTGCAAAGATTTCAATGGAACCCAAAACTGGTCACAATTTGATGTGGATTCCCATGTAATGAATAAGGATGGGTATCTTAAATGGTGTGGTCCTTGGACATGGTAATAGAAAGCCTTTTTTTTTAAGCTTCGCGCTACGTGCATATATTAGGGCTTGCCACTTAATTCTTGGTATTGCAGATGGGCGGAATGCACGACGCCTTTGTGCTTGTCTGCTCCTCCGGGCAAGTAATCAAACAATATTTCGTGTAGATTTGAGCTAGACCGCTGAAATGCCGATGGATCGCTTGTTGATCTTGGCTATGATCGCAGGGATCGCTTGCGCTGCACTTAACAGGTGTGATTTTCCACAGGGATTTGTGTTTGGGACTGCTTCTGCTGCTTATCAGGTGATGTCTTGCCTGGATCCATGTAGAAATTTGTTTTGTTTTGCCTTTAGTATGAAGGAGCAGTGGCGGAAGGAGGACGTAGGCCAAGCATTTGGGATACATTCTCACACACACCAGGTTTTATTTTGGTTCCAGCCGAGTTGACAGCCTCCTGTTTTTATTTGTCCAGGAAAAATCATCGATGGCAGTAATGGAGACGTCACAGACGACCAGTATCATCTCTATCAGGTGATAAAAGCTTTGTTTCCACTCTTCATGCGTCTCTTTTTCTTGTTCTAACGAAGAATTTATATCAGGACGACGTACTATTGATGAAAAACATGAGCATGGACGCTTATCGCTTCTCAATTTCCTGGTCTCGAATTCTTCCAGGTTCACCTCTTCTTTTTCCATGCGGTTTATCTTTCTTTTTGGAATCTTCTAGATTTGAAAGCGTCAGCTGTGAATCCCGAGGGCATAGCTTATTACAATCGTCTCATCGATGCACTTCTAAAGCAAGGTAATGTCGCTTCAACACCATCGTTTTCTTAGCGAGCTCACCGTGCAGGAATACAACCGTATGTTACATTGTACCACTGGGATTTGCCTCAAGCTCTCGAGGATTTAGGTGGCTGGCTAAACTCTTCGACTATGTAGGTGTTTCTTCCAGAAGTTCGCTAGAAACTCAGCTCGTCTCTCGTAATTTAGTGACAAGTTCTCGGCCTACGCAGAGGCATGCTTCAATGCTTTTGGTGACCGAGTGAAGCACTGGATCACTTTCAACGAGCCACACAATTTCGTGGTAACTGGTTACGATCTTGGAGTCGAGGCTCCTGGCAGATGCTCCATCCTGGGGTGTTTGCGGGGAAACTCCGCAACAGAACCTTACATTGTCGCGCACAACGTCTTGCTGTCTCACGCAGCAGCAGTTGACGTCTACAGGAAAAAGTTCCAGGTATGTAACGTTCATTTGTCAACAATTCTTTAACACTCTTGAAATTTGGCAGTCCACACAGAAGGGGAAGATCGGCATAACTTTAGATGCCAAATGGTATGAACCTATATCGAACTCCACCGAACACACTTCTGCCGCTCAGAGAGCTCTCGACTTTGAACTAGGCTGGTATGTTTTATTTCAGAAAAACTAGCAGTAACTTCCAGAGCAACAGGTTTTTGGATCCTATTATGTTTGGCGACTATCCAAGCGTGATGCGTGAGAACGTCGGGGATCGTTTACCAAACTTCACGAATGAGGAGCGGTCCAGAGTTCTACATTCTATGGATTTCCTCGGCCTCAACCATTATACCACAAACTTCGCGTTGCCTATACCCTTTAACTTGAGCAGGGTGGATTACTACATGGACGCCAGAGTTATTGGATCAGGCAAGTAGACTGTTGCTAATTTTTCTTCCTATACTTTTGCTTTACAGGGATTTGGAATGGAGTTGTTATCGGCCCGAGCGTAAGTAGAGTTTCCAAATGTTTTCACTGTAACATTTTTCCTTCATGGTTTCAGGGAGCATCATTTTGGCTCTACATTGTTCCGTGGGGAATCCGGAAGATTGTAAACTACATCAAGGAGCGATACAACAATCCAACAATTATAATCACTGAGAATGGTTTGATCTTCTTCCTCAGTAGCTACTGCTGATTTTTCTTTTTTCCTTTCGTTCATGCAGGAGTGGATCAAAACAACTTGCTGTCCTCGAAAGAGACACTCAAAGACGACATAAGAGTAAATTTCCACGCTGATTATCTTTCCAATCTTCTCCTCGCAATCAGGTAAACATTCCAAAAACTTTCGACCAAGAGATGATCTTTTCTCTCTCTCTCTCTACAGAGATGGAGCTGATGTTCGTGGATATTTTGCTTGGTCCTTGCTTGACAATTGGGAATGGACTTCTGGCTTTACTTCCCGTTTTGGCCTCTATTATGTTGATTATAAGAACGAATTAAAGAGATACCCCAAGAATTCCAGCGTTTGGTTCAGTAATTTTCTCAATATTTCGTGCTAGAAATTCACAATATCTAATTCTATTTGAAACGTTCCACTTAGCCTAGAGCAAAAGAGATGTTGTGTTTGTGCGAGAATCCCATTACAATGCTGGTACTGTAAGTTTCTATTCTTGTATTCTTCTATAGTCAATCTCATCCGTAGGGCTAGCTCCACGATCTCTTCCAGTGCTACCATCCAGTGCTAGGATGAGAGTTGGAGAAAATCTCCATTTGATGCTTTTCAAAATTGGAATTCCCGCAATTTTTCTCTTTTAGGGTTCCTGTGCTTGAGGTTAGGTTCCGTATGCAATTGGGGGCTGCGATCTTGGAGCGCTGCCGTGATCTCCTGCGCATCGCCTGGATCGTCTGGCGCCCACATTGCAAGATGATGAGATGATGCAGCGGGTAAGTACTGCGCTCTTCCTCCTTGATTCTGCGCCGTGCTGAGGACGAAACCGCTGCCAGAGAAAGAAGAAGAGACTGCGAGTGATTCATGTCCACACCACTGAGAGCTCGCGTGCCAATGCTCTGGATTCCAAAGAGTAAGTTTTACCTCCGTGGCTTCTTTTCGTGGTTAAGGGGCATCGCTTCTTTGGCAGGTTTTGCTCAAACCGGATTGTTACGTCGAAGTACACGCTCACTTCGTTTCTCCCACGCGTTTTATACCGGCAGTTTAGCAGGGCATCGAATTTGTATTTTCTTCTCATTGCGGTGCTCGAGCTGATTCCTGGCCTCTCCGCGAGCAGCTGGATCACTACGATTGTTCCATTTCTGTTTTTACTCTGCCTTCATGCTACCAACGAAGGGATTGAAGACGTGAAGCAGCACCATTCTGATAATCAGGTAGAAAGAAATGCTTCTCTTTCTTTTCTTATTTCTTAGTTCCTTTGATTGACTGACTCAGATCAATTCGAGGACGTCGGAAGTTCTTGTAGGGGACGTGTTTGTACCGGCCGAATGGAGCGATATCATTGTGGGAGATGTCATTCGCGTAAGAAACAATTGCGAGTTCCCGGCTGACATCGTTCTTCTGTTCTCGTCGGATCTTCAAGGTATCGCTTGTTTTATCTATTCAAGCACGAAACTAAGTATTTATGTTTTTTCCCTCTCGTCTTCAAACCGAAGGTATTGCTCATGAAGAAACAGCAAGCCTCGATGGGGAAACGTTTCTCAAGTTGAAGAACGCGTTCTACAGGTCTAGATCTTCGAATCCCGAAGACGATGATATGTCGCTTCTTGCGTTAACGGCTTTGAAGATTAAGTGTGAGCTCCCCAATAATCGGCTGTATGAGTTTGATGGCGCTATCTCCCTCCAGGTGTGAGCCTATTGTTTACTAGTTTTCAGACACTGGCATCCTTTTTCATATATCAGGGTCAGGGACTAATGGCTCTCGACGACAGTCAATTGTTGCTGCGAGGTGCGACACTGCGCAACACGCATTGGATTATTGGTGCAGTAGTGTATACGGGTGAAGATACAAAGTGCATGCTGAACACGATTCCATCTCGAACGAAGGTTCAGTCCTCTTTGTTTTCTTCCTTTTATTTCTCACCAGCTGACGTTGCAGATTTCTCAACTGGAATATAACTTAAACTTCCTAGTGATGATTATGTTTGTTATTCAAGTGGCGATTTGCATTGGTCTAGCTGTCGGTGAGGCTATGTGGCTCAAAAAGCAGTCGAATCCATACTATCTTAAAGAACGTAGTCAATCCAACCTCGGTAGAGTTATTGGACAAATATTTCGGTGAGTGCTTTTCTTTCACTCCGTGACTTAATCTTTGATGTGAACATCTTGTAGGTTCGTTTTGCAGATTCATTGCGCTGCTAAATCAGCTCATTCCAATTTCTTTGTATATTACACTCGAGCTGGTTAAAGTCGTTCAATGCTACTTTATCCAGAAGGACATACACATGTATCATGAGCAATCGGACAATCCAGCCCAAACACGAACTATGAACCTTGTTGAAGAGCTTGGTCAGGTACAGAATTGCTACCATATTTCAGATTGCATTGCACTTCACTGACTGGTGCAGGTAGATTACGTTCTGTCTGATAAAACTGGCACATTAACTCAGAACGTCATGGCTTTCGTGCGGTGTTCTATTGGTGGTGTTATATATGGAGATTCAATTGATGAGGACGAGCCTGTTACAGATCCACGTCAAGCAATACATACTGTTGCTCGAGATTATAATCTTCAAGAAGCTCTTCACCAGGAGAATCATCATGGCCTGCAATGCAGACTGTTTTTTCTACATCTTGCTATTTGCCATCAAGCTGTCCCTGAAGGTGATTCTGGCTCCGGCGGTATCATATACCAGGCTGCATCACCAGACGAAGAAGCTCTTGTGAATGTGTGGTTCCGCAAAAGAATATATTTCAGGCCTTCTAATAGTTGTAAGATGCAGGGAGCAGCTGTATGCGGATATCGCCTTTTGGATCGAACGCCAAATGAAATTGTTGTCAGTTGTGAGGTAAATTCTGTAAGCTCATTTGCATCTTCGTGTATAAGATCTTCCATGTGTGCAGGATACCGGTTTTGAAAAGCAAACCGTTTTGGCAGTCTTAGAGTTTACGAGTGACAGGAAACGAATGAGCATAATCTGCAAAGACTCCAGTGGGAGGTAAAAGAATTAATATTATTTTTCTGTTTCGTCAACTGACATGGTCTTGTTGTCTCAGGATTAAACTGTTTTGCAAAGGTGCCGACACAGTCGTAATGAAAAGACTGTCAAAGAACCAGGATGCCTCTATTGAAACCACGGTAGAGCATTTGGAGAAATTCGCGTGTTCTGGTTATCGAACCCTTTGTATTGCACAGCGCGAGGTACATCTGTGCACATTTGGACTACTCATGTGATAGTGTTTCCACCGCAGCTGGACCATTCAGAGTACGACCACTGGGCAGCACGTTTTCTCGCAGCCAGTGTAGCCCTGGACGAACGAGAAGAAAAACTTGCGTTACTTGCAGACTCTATTGAGCGCGAATTGGTACATTCTTTGGACATGGATTTGTCGTGATAGTTTTATTATTATGGCAGACAGGTCCTTTTGGGTGTTACCGCTGTGGAAGATAAGCTTCAGGACGGAGTCTCTGAAACTGTGACACTTCTTGCTCATTCTGGGATTAAGATATGGGTAAGTGATTTCCTGTAAGAAGTAACAGATGGCGAAGAACGATTCATGCAGGTGCTTACTGGCGACAAGCTCGAAACGGCAGTTTCCATCGGTCTCACGTCCAACTTGCTGGTGGAATCCATACACATGTTTCTCTTATCTGAGAAATGCTGCAAATCCATTCCGCAAATGCTGACTAATATGTTGGAAGAAGCTCAAAAAAACGCGCAGGCAGTGGGTGAGTACGTTGGAGAGCCTTGCTACATAGCCTCATTGTTTTCTCTCTGCTTCAGATAGTACATATATGGCAGTAGTGATTGAAGGCGATTCGTTGGCTGTAGCTCTGGAAGAAGATAACAAGCTGGTCTTTCTGGAGTTGTGCCAATTATGCCGGACAGTCATTTGCTGTCGTGTTAGCCCAATCCAGAAAGCGAAGGTATGTAGTTTTTCAAGCTTTCTGTTGTTCTAAATCATTTTTCTTTCTCTTTTTCGTTTTTTTCCCGAAGGTTGTAAAAATCTTACGGGAGCACGGGGCTGTAACATTGGCTATTGGAGATGGCGCGAACGACATGGCCATGCTTCAAGAGGCTGATATAGGCGTAGGCATTTGTGGCCGGCAAGTTATGACCGCTGTTTATGCAAGTAACTACGCTATTGCCCAGTTTCGCTACCTTGCAAGGCTGCTGCTCGTTCATGGTCGCTGGTAAGCTCATGCTGTCATTTTCGTTAGAAAAACACGTTTTCACAGGTCTTACAAACGTAACCGCGACTCGATCATGTATGCTTTCTACAAGAATATTGTATACGTTGCTGGCAACTGCTATATAGCATTCTACTCCGGCTATTCGGGCCAGCCTCTTTACAACATATTCCTCATATCGACGTACAACTTGTTTTGGACGTCTCTACCGACAATTGCATACGCTATCCTCAACAAGGATATTTGCGAGACAACGATACTGAACAATCCTCAACTTTATCACGAAACTCAAAAGGATCGGACGTGGAAGTTTTTCAGAAGTTTCTGCCTCTGGTTTATTGCGGCGCTTTGGCACTCGTTGATAGTTTTCTTCTACCCGAGCTCAGGGATTCCTCTCGGGTCAGTGCACCGATTATTTATTTTTTTATTTGTTTGTTACTTTAGCTCACAATGTCGGTTTTCTAGCAGGAAAGGCAGGCGAGGGGGGCTTGCAAACATTGGGACAACCTCTTACTCAATGGCGGTGTTTATTGTCAACATAAAGCTAGCGACGCGCATGAACTTCTTCCCATGGGTCTCACACGCAGTTCTCTGGGGTGTTTCAATCGGTTTATGGCTCCTGTTTGCGTTCGTGCTCTCCTTCTTCTGGCGGAGATGGCAAGCCTTTGCCGAGTTGAGTGGCATTGGTTCAGAGCTGGTTGGCAGCGTAAAGTTTTGGTTCGTTCTTCTTCTTGGCTGTGGAACAGCGCTGCTACCGGATATGATCATGTCCGTCTTTCGGAGGCATTTCTTCCCACGGGATCACGAGATTATACAAGAGATGGAGCATGGCTGGCGGAGCGGTGTCCTGAAGAAGGCGTCTAGGAGAGTTGTGGAGCAAGTTACACGGAGCTTGACTGTCCGAGCTGTGTCACTCCCGCAAGCAATAATGCAGCAAGTGGAGCAGGCAAGGCAGCTATCTCACAACAGGACAGTCAAGTTGGAGAGCTCTATGGAATCCGAACCACCACCCCGAAGAATAACGTGGAGAGATGTTTTATCTGAGAAAGAGATTGAAGACATTGATATTCCAGAAACACTCAACAGGTATGGAAAGCGTAGGAGCAGCGGGTTCCAAGTTGTCCGAAAGTTCTCTGACGATGAAGGGGAAGATCAAGATTAATAGACAAATTATTTGCATATAATATTTTTCACGTCCTGAAAGTCAGGATCTGAAAGAGAAACTTCAGCGAGTAAAGCGGTGACGAATTCTTCTGTTGCATGCTCGTAGTCTTCTTTCCTCTTCAGCACAATATGCCCGCCAATTTCCCAGGCCGCTGGATTGACTTGAGTGTCCAAAACCTTCTGGGAGACTTGGTGTAACGCTTGCTTTCGTGCAAAACACTGACGTATATGTTAAAAAAGACTAACTTTTAAACTTCATACCTGTGGAAATAAGAAGACCCGTGTTCCACAGTCACATATCAATAGATTGAAGGGTATATTTCGGAGCTCCAATTCCTGACACGTACTTGCAACTGATATTGCAATCTCGTTTAGATCCATACTTTCATAAACAACTCCTTTAACAGGATAATCAACCAATTCAGATATCCTCAAGGAAGATTTAAGACTCCCTTTGTTAATTCGTGTAATAGATGCACACTCCACAGGAAATGGGTATGCAAGATAGTAAGCCTGTAAATCAATCTTGTAAATTTAACCTTTTGAAAATTATTATACCTGAAAGTGAAGGTGATTTATAGTTGCAAAAGCACCAAGACTATTATATCCAACTCGAAAGTATGGACAATCCACCTCCGCAGTAAAATAAAGAGCCAATAAAAGATCATTTGCACAGAGTCGTTGAGGAACAAAATCGAAAAGACGAGGTACAAGTAAAACATGTCCATACTCAATAGGACTTACCTGGAAATTTATAATATATGATTAGTAATGTTTTATAACAATCCATTAAAACTTACGTTTATAAGCACGAAATCAGGTGATGATAGGATAGGAGTAATATCATAATACCCAGCTTCCTCACCTTCTCCAAATTGAAATAGTACCTCGTTGCGATTAACTTTAGAAAAGTTGAATTTTTTGGGATCAAATTCTTGAAGAACTTGATCCACTCGAAATTCTGTTAGTCGCTTTTTCAAATGACGACCCTCGTTGAGCTGTGCAATAAATCCATAATTTCCAGAGAGGACCTAGGAAAATAGCAGATAAATAAAATACTTATACTCTTCACAACAATATACTCACCCGAGACTCACAAGCTGTAACATCGTATCGAAATAATCCCTGAGATGCACGCTCCTCCCACTATCAAATCCAATTTTAGATCTTCCTAGTTTATGAAAGATATATTCACATACCTTGGACAATAATAATGTGCCTAGAAATGATCTTTCAATTGTCGGTGGTGACGATGGAACTTCTTCATCCCCAAGCAGCTGCAGCTCAGTTGTCTTCATCTTCTTCGTATACTTAAACAAAGGAAGATCAAATCCTAATAACATAGAATAAAACATTAAAAATTGAAATAAAAGGGAAAAAAAATATTAAAAAAACAAACCTGTGAGAAAGCAGCTTTGAAGGCAGTCACGGCTGACAGAACCACAATCTTGGTTCACAGATACAACTGTAGGAACTCGCTTAATAGCCAGCATCTTTAGCCAATAAGATTGAAACCCCCACTATGGTGCTCCGAGAAGAAGGCCACCACCAGCAAGAAAGGTAAGATCTGAAGGGTGTCCTCCTTCCGAGGGGCTAGCCCCTCGACCACCGTGGCAAGAGAGGGAACTCAGCAGAGTCTTACAACTGGAAACACTGTGTCCATAACAAATGATGGGGTGTCGACTCAAAAGCTCAATTGAAGCCGTGGTTGTCAAAATTTTGGCACGGACTAGCCTTCTTCCAGGCTAGTCAGTGCATAAGAATAAACCCTGCAAGAAAAAAAAAAAAAAAAAACAGGAAATGTGATGGAAATCAAATTGGGAGCAAACATACCTGCAAGGAAAAAGAAAGGAAATGTGCTGAATTGGGGAGCAACCATACCTGAATCAAAAGCGTTGGAAGAAGAAAAGCAAAACCTAATCTTTTCCTATCCAACTAGCTTTATTAAAAAGAAGAAATAAGTGACTGTTTTGCATGCAAAGCTTTGATTTATCCTCTGTTTTTCCATCATGTTGGCTCTAGTGCGGTGATCTTGAAAGACAAGTGAGAAAACTCAATGATCAACGTCAAAAAGCTTCACAATAATACATGAACTTGAATAGCTTCACTCACCGCGCTTGCCAAAAACGCAGTTGAGAATGAGTCACTCCTCCGCTTCTCAGTGCTCGCTCCTGCTTGAATGCCGCCTCTTGTTGCTGTAAGACTCCTCGTCCCACCCCCGCTCTCTCTCTCTTTCCCTCTCCCTGTCCCTGTCCCTGTCCCTGTAATCGCGATCTTTCGAGTCCCTGCTGCTCCTGTCCCTGGAATCGTCCTCCTTCCGCCGCCGGCTATCTTGATCTCTCGAGCTCGGCTTGCCACTTTCTCCGCCGCCACCGCCACCACCACCGTCGTCGTCCCCTGTCTCCTCCTCAAACCTCTCGCCGCCTTCTTCGCCACCGTTCCAACCGGACCCCTGCATTCCAACGCCCCAGCCTCGAGAGTGGTCGCCACCCCCGCTACTCCCCATCCCCCGGCCAAAAAACGCTGGATTAACGTGAGGAGGAACGCCAGGAAATGGCATTGGATAGCCCCCACGCATGAAGCCACCCATGCCGTACATGCCCGGCCGCATCGGGGGCCCGAAGGAGGGATCATACGGGCCTCCCATCATGGGGAGTTGTCCGAACTGGTCGCTGCCTCCGCCTCGGCCGAACTGGTCACCCCCTCCCCCTCCTCGTCCTCGTCCTCTCCCACGGCCTGGTGCATAGCAAGGGAGCTTGGAATTAAGAAAAAAGAAAATTCGCAGCTAGCTACAGAAAAGCGACACTGCTAACTCGACTCAAGACTTCACGAGAGAGAGAGAGAGAGAGAGAGAGAGCGCACGAACTTAAAGGAAGACACTGCTCACTTACAGCAGAAGAGAGAAGGGAAAGAGAAAAGACTAACAGGTTTGCATCTTATACGTAAGAAAAATGGAGAGAACCACAAGAGAAACGATCAGAAATATCTAGAGGTAAGAGAGGGACTGAAGGCAAGAACTTAGAAGTTAAAAGACACTGCTTCTGTGGAACCGAGCCAAGGATGCGAACAAAATGAAAGGACTTCTAGCTGAGTACCAGGAAACCGCGATAGACGAACGAAAACAAAAACCGAAACTAAAGACTTACCCGATGAGGACTTCTTTCCCATTTGATTCGGCTGGCTGGGAGCGTTGTAGCCACCACCACCACCAGGCTGCGAAGGATTAGAGAGCGGGCCTCCGCCACCGCCGCCACCACCACCACCACCAGCGCCGCCACCACCTTGCCCCATCTTCATATTCATTTGCTTGAGCATCTGGGGAGTAGCGTAGGCGACGACGCAAGGTCGCCCATTGAAAACGCGGCCATGCAAGTTCTCCTTGCACAGCTGCGCCGGGAGAGGCTCGAAGAAATCCACCTGGCAGAGCCCCTTGGATTTGCCGCTGGCCCTCTCCTCGAAGAACTTGATCCCTTTGATCTTGCCAAACTCCGCGAGCGCGCCCTCCAGCTCCGCGTCGGTGGTCCACCACTGGAGCTCGGATATGACGATGGAAGTCCTCCCCCCATCCTGAGACGCGGCCGACGATGATCGAGGGGGCGGCACTGGCGCTGCCGATGCTTGCGCGACAAAATTCGGCCTCGCGGCGGGCTCGTCCAGCTGCTGCTCTTGCTGTGGCGCCGCCGCCGCCGCCGCCTTGAAACTCACTGGCGATGGCGAAGGTATCCTCGCTTCTTGCGGCGGCGGCTGCTTGATCTGCGCTGGAGCCGCCACCGCATTCTGGGGCTCCGGCTGCTTGATCGGATCGTCGTCGTAGAAATCATACCCTCCTTGCGGCTGGGCGCCCGGCTGTGGCTGCTGCTGGGGCGGATGATCCTCCTGCTGGGGCTCACCTTTGGGCGGAGGCTGCTGCTCCTCGGGCGCCGGGAAAAACCCTACATTCACGTCGTCGTAGAGATCCTCGAAATCCTCGTCCACCGCCATCTCCACGCCCGCGCCATTCTCGATCTCCACATCGTAGTCAGCCTCCTCCATGGGTGACCTAGAAAAAGCCACACACTACGAGCATATTCTCGAATAGGGTTTAGCCCCTCCTCTTCCCGCGCTATCCGATTTAAAAGTTCTATAAGCCATGCTATCTTTCTCGGCGAGCGCTCTTCTCGCCGAAACGGAGATGGTTCCACCACTGACGACGATCATCATCGACCTGTGGATTCATGGCGGCGTTGCTACTCAGCTCGATACCGTTCTCCCGCTGTAACTTCATCAATGCGGCACTGCTGGAGCTGGATTCTCCGACTTCCGAGCGTGATGTCCATGCCACACGGAGTGTTGCAAACATACTTCGGTCTGTTTGCGGCACTGGAACTACATTTTGTAGGCTCTTTTCCGGGAGTCTCTGTTCTACGGCAACCGCGAGCTTTTCCTGGTAACCCGAATCGGTTAACAGAGTTGGTAGTGCCAAAAGTACATTGCTTACATGTATGGGAGGGAGGAATCAAGCTGCCGCTGCAAATGATCACGACAATGTCCCTGCCCAAGCGCAAACTTGGTTAAGAACCATCGCAAGAGTTCTCACCTGGTACAAGAATGTAAAGCTGGCTGCATGACATAACGAAGAAAATGGAACATCACCACGAAGGTTCCATACTGAAAGAAGGGCCAGAAAACACATTCTTGTGAGTGATCAAGAAGAAAAAAACGATGAACAAATATTTGTCACCACGTTGAGGAACTCACGGGATTCTTAGTACCAAAATCTCCGCGTTGGAACGCATGACTTTAACCAGCCAGCCAGCCAGCGGCCCTCCACGATGGAGTTTTCATTTGAAGACACAGCTGACCCGGATTTATAAACGCCACCAGCCCCTCTCGGTGCTCAGGCAGTAGCCAAGAAATGAAGATAGTTCCATCGATAATGATCCTATTGCTTGCTATGCTGCTTTCCTTCGAGGTTGGCATTGTTGCTCAGACCAATTGCATGCTAGGCGTCGCGTGTCCCCAAGGCAGCTGCTGTAACTTTGTTGGACAGTGTGGCACCGGAGTTGGATTCTGCGACTCCGGCTGGTGCGTGCTCCAGTGCCCGATTCCGGAGTGCGGTGTTCAGGCCAGGGGGGCCGACTGTGGCTCTGGACAGTGTTGCAACTTACTTGGCTTTTGTGGTACTGGAGACACTTTCTGTGGCGAAGGCAACTGCCAGAGCAATTGTCCGTCGTCGCCATCTCCTCCAAGCCGCAGGAATCCGCCACCACCTCTAGAAGATGATGGATCCCTCCCGTCTGATAGAGATACGCCTAGCGGCTCTTCCCCGGACACGGATACAGGAGTTCCCAGTCCACCGCGCCAGCGTGTTTCTCCCAGATCGCCTCGACCTCGGACTGGTAAGAAAAAGAGTCAGGCCTGGATAGCTGGAGTAGTGGTGCCAATTGCATTGCTTACATGTTTCGGAGGACTTTGTTGGCACAAGAAGAAAAAGAAAGGCCGAGCTGTCACCGCAACTGCTGCCAATGGTAAAGCCAAAGCCAATGCCGCCGCTGCCACTGTTCAAACACAAACATGGTTAGAAATTATGACAGGATGGGGTGGACAGATTCTCACTTTGTTCTCAGAAAGTCCAAATGAAAATGCTGCTGCTCCAGAAGATAAAGGTAAAGATGCAGCAGCTGAGAAAAACTCCTCAAATATTACAGTGCATGAGAGCAAAGAAGAAGCTGAGCGTAATAGTGAAGTTCCTGTATTGCAGGAAGAGCCTGCACACCAGGAAGAACACTGCAATGTGTGAAAGACAGAGGACAATGTGAAAAGGTTGTAGCATTTTGAAAGAGCTATCGATAAGCACAAGTCTGATTCAAGAAGTTCGTAAACCAGGCTGCCGATGCTTTCGGACATCGCTTCAAATTGTCTCTGTAGTCCACATAATAGAGACCGAAGCGAGAAGTGAATCCCGCACTCCATTCCCAGTTGTCCAACATTGACCACACAAAGTATCCCCGGACGTCAGCTCCGTCCCTGAGATCATAAGCGTGATCCAGCTGCTAAAAAGTGTAAATCTTGTACCTGATCGCGGCGGAAAGATTTGACAGATAGTTGCTATGAAAGTCAATTCTGTGGCTGTCGTGCAAAGCGCTGCTTCGTGATAAGAAACTGGACTGGTCCATTCCTGACAGCTTTTGACGATATAGATCATGCAAAAGAATATGGAGGCACGCACCATTTTCTGTTATGATAATTGGCAGCTGATTGTAACGGTGAGTTACGTAGCTGACTAGCTTTCGAAAACCCCATGGCACGTCGTATAGCCAAACGGATGCCGCCTATCAAGGCAGCGTTAGTGGCTATAATTCACAGGAAGATTAAACTCACTCTTCGTCCAATTGAAACTCCACCACGAGATGCTGCAAAGAGAAAACTATGACAAAAAGAGCCGACCTTTGATTCCGGGGTACCTGTTCTGAATACTCTGGAATCCTGAAAATAGTCTGTCCAGTTCTTTATAAGCGGAGGAGGTAGCGCAGATGCAAAATTGGTAGTGTAGTGATTAAGTCCAAGGAAGTCAATCGATAGCAGCAAAGAAGAACGTTGCTCCTCTGTGAACATCGGCAGGCGATGTCCGACGTAATCACGCATAACTGCTGGATACTCACCATAAACGATTGGATCTAAAAACCTGGAATGAAAGAATGCTTTAGATGAACTTTAGAATTCACAAGACCTTACCACCCGAGCTCAAAATCCAGAGCTCTCTGTGCAGCTGCTATATTATTTGTGGAGTTTGAAAGCGGCTCATACCAGAACGAATTCAAGGTAATTCCAATTGTTCCACCTTGCCGGGCCTGTATAATAAGCTTTCAAGAAAATGATTTTTATGTTGCATACACACCTGATACTTCGTTCTGTAGATGCGCACTGCGGCCGCATGTGAGAGTAGCACATTATGAGCAACAGCGTAAGGCTCAGTGGCGGAGTTTCCTTTCGAACATAAAAGTATTGAGCATCTTCCTGGCGCATGAATGCCTAAGTCGTATCCTGACGTTGCAAACGACTGGGGTTCATTGAAAGTAATCCAGTACTTGATCCGATCGCCAAATGCGTTGAAGCAAGCGTCAGCGTAGGCGGCAAATCTGTTTCTGCATGTTCAAACATTGAGAGCTTGAAACTTGTCTTCGATAAGTAAAATTACTTACACAATCTCAGAACTAAGCCATCCCCCAATTGAGTCTTCAAGCGCTTGTGGAAGATCCCAATGGTAAAGGGTAACGTAAGGTTCAATATCTGCATCACTCAAGTAAGCACAAAAGACAAAAACCAATGCTTAGTCTCTGACTGTTCGCTAAGAGAGCGTTGATAAAGCCATTGTAGTGATTCACACCCTCAGCATTTACTTGCGTTGTGTTTCCATCTGCATTGCAGTAAAGGTTCAAATAACGCTTGAATGCAGCGCCATATTTACCAGGGAAAATACGAGACCACGAAATCGAAAATCGATATGCATCTATGCCAAGTTCTTTCATCAGTAATATGTCCTCCTGGGAGAAAAACTCGCAAGGCTCTAAATTATCTTTCAAGATACGAGCATACCTGATACCGGTTGTATTGATCTTCAGCAACATCGCCATTGCTGCCATCCAAAATCTTGCCTAAAATTTCCAAAAAGAATCATTCAAACTAGAAAGTATAAGCATAACGTACCGAAAGTATGAGAGAATTTGTCCCAAATGCTTGGCTTCCGTCCACCTTGCTTCGCACCCCCTTCATACTAACCACAGAGAAAGAAGTATAAACAGAAAACAGATAAAGAGAAAAGAGCAACATACTTGATACGCAGAGGACGCTGTGCCAAACACAAACTGTTTCGGAAAATCGCACCTGCTGATTCCGGTCGCTCCGCAGCCTGCTAAAAAGGCGATAAGAGATATGAAGAGCACAGAACTTTTGTTATCCATCGGGATGAACAGAACCAAGCCACAACTATGCCTAACATTTCTGGAGCAAAAGCATGGGTACCACCAAGCACAAGCAATGCATGATAAGCCACAACGATGAACAAGGAATGACAGCTTAAGAAAGGACAGATCCTTGAGTGATGGATCGGTGCAAGCAAAGAGCAACAAAAGCTGGAAGGAGCCAGTATGAACATGGTTTCCACTATGCTGTCCTAGTAACAGAGAAATTCGATTTGGGGAGAGTTATGGCATTATCGATATTGCCGCCTTGATTTTCTCTTGTCGCTTTCTTACTGTCGTTACCACGAAGAGTCATCAGAATTGAAAGAAAATTCCGATTTTACCGATCAATTCAACCAGATGCGCTCACATGTTGCAAACGAAGAAGCTGATATCAAAAGCATAGTACACTGTACCGGGTCTGCAGCTTTACTTTTCCTTTCGTCAACCTGTCATGAACCGGTGACACAGAACGGCATCTGCTATGGGCCGTTGCCGATAATCTGGATTGAGCATCGCCTGCAGTTTCAGTCTCTTAGTAGAGTGACATTATCCATTTCCGCTACCTCACTCACCTGGAGAAGTTCCCATCCTGCTTTATTATCGAGATCCAGGAATTTGACAGCCTCTTCCCACCTATCATCCATCATACAATATCTGTAATAGAAACGGTAGATTAGAAAGCTAGAATAAAGTGGAAAAAACAGACTCTCTAGTAGCAGTTAAATCAAGTCGAAATGTGCTTTCCAAAAGCCTCTGCTCAAAAGAAAAAAATATCAGAAGAATGGATGGTGGAGTGTAGCAAAACCTGAAGTGATGGAGCATCAACGCTACCAGGAACACTGAGAGATGCAAAAACAATATATGCCAGAAGCAGGCCACCAGAGAAGCTGCCACAAAAACACAGCAAATAAGCCGAAGTACGAAAACAATATCTTACATATCATCAGCAATTCCAAATGCCTTGCGTTCAAATATTGTTCGAGCACCTGCAGCGGCTGCTCTACGCCAAAGATTATCAGAAAGAGCTCCAAATTTCGGGTCGGCACCACGAAACAGAGTTTCATTACTGCAAATGTCGAAAGAGATACTAAATTAAGACTGAGATGCATAACATGAACTAACCTCACATCCACAGCAAAGGCGAGATCCCGTAAACGAGGTAAAACCATTGAAATATTTCGCTCTTCCATTGTGCTGCAGCAACAAAAACAATGACATCAAGGAAGTATGTACTCTGAACTTACTTGAGAATCACTGATGCAGGGCCAAGAGACTGGTGTAGTTGACCACGGGCATGCATGAAAGACAGACCAGTAAAGGCACCAGCAAGTAGTTTTCGAATAAAAGCATGTCTCCTTTGAAGAACCTCTGCTTTTTCAAAACGATCCCAAAAGTCCCAAACACCTACAGAAATGCCCTTCTGAGTTGCAACGCCCGCAGCCATGGCATAATCAGCCCCGGATTTGATTCCATCATTTCGAAACACAAGCCACTGTCCTGAAACAACTTGGACACTGTAAAAGAATGACGTAATGAAGTCTTGCATGCCTGTTCTCCTGTGCGTGTCTCAAATCCTCCAAGAAGTACTATTATGTTTTCGCATGTCTTTCCCATTGAAGAGTCCTGCAAGAGAAAGCTGCGTCAAGGATAACAGGAAAAAAAAGAAGAAAATTCAATATCAACCTGAAGAATGGCGTGTGAACTCAACTCATTTGCCGCCATCATATCAGCTTCATGACCACCGGCATTTCGAACCGGATAAGCCTGAGATGGTGATGTAAAGCTACTCTTTTCTTCACGAATTCAGTAAAACTTACTTTCAGTAAAATGCGTGTGCCAGTGTTCGGACCACGCCTTACTCTTCCGGAGTAGAGCCTTGAAATAAGAAGTGTACATTACTTCCAATATTCGTCGAAAGCTCACCTTGTTTCCACGTTACCAGCATCAACCTCCTGACCACCAAATCTCTTTGCATTTAAACTGGTTGTCATGCTCTCTATTCCTCCATCAAGCTTGGGCGGGTCGTAGCTGAAAAACAAAATCACACACACACACACACACACAAACAATAAAAAAAATGACCACGTCGAACATATGATACAAAGAACAAGAACTCAAGGAACCTGGAGATGCTCATGTAGCCATATGTCCCCAGTAAACTTTCCAGCACAATATCATCGGAAGAAAACACGTCCATGGTCGCAAAAACGCAATGACACCTGTGAATCTTACGCCTGCCCGAGTAAAACTTACACGCGGGTAAACCCGCTCGTTCAGATCCACAGAAGGCGGAGGCAGGCGATACCATACTGAACAAAGATTTCACACTAATTCCCATGGAACGAAACGCGAGAGCAGCGCATAGCCTGTTCTTGAGACGCCGATGTGTGCAGGATAAGGCCACGTGTAAAAGTGAACAAAATCATGGTTATATGTAAAAAGAACTCTAAAGAAAACATACTCAGCTCTATCAATGCGATGGTAGTATACGGGTTCGTTTGCAATGCCGGACCCTTTTTCCCAGAGGCATATTGTGCCCCCAGCTGGTCTTGGCACCGTGTCCACCGTATCCTGCAAAACAATGTGGTCAGATAAAATCAGAGCGCTCAGAAACACCATGCTACCATAAAACTTGTAGTGCGTATATCTGGTCACGGACGGATGTAGTGGTGCAGGAAGTCTCTCCTCGAAGCGCCTTTGCGGCTGAAGATCGAATACGTGAAATCGCGAGGGAGGAGGATAGTTCTTGTGCTCCATGTTGTACTCGGCCGGGAAAAGCTGTCTGTATCTATAAGCGTTAACAATATGCTCCATGCGCCTGAAACCAGGAGATAAGTACACGAAACAGTAGAGACCTTCTCGGCATACATTCTTTCGATATCTTGGTCCTTCTTTTTAATACGCATGAACTGCATTTCTTGCTGCACCTGCTCCTTCTGGCTCTTTCTATCCTCCTCGTCCGCTGCATGGGTGTGCCCAGGAACTCGGAGGTTGGGTATAGAAGACTGATATCTAAGCATGCCTTTGAGTGCACGACGACCTGAGGGAAAAGAATCAAAAGATTGAAGAAAAACAGGTTGTTGTTCGCTACTTACTTGGCGAACTGCTCTCGCCGGTACCCGCAGCATTATCATTTTTTGTTCGCATTTTCAGCTCGTCCAGCTTTTTCTGGCAATCCATCAGCTCCCGAGAGAGCTTCTCACACTTTCTCTCGCATTTCGAAGCGGCATCCTCGAGCTGCCGCTTGAGAAACATAGGTTGAGAGAAAGAAACAAAACACCACCCTTCTTACCTTGGCACTTTTGTAAAACCGTCCATAGTCGTTGTAAGTGGTGTCCCATAACTCGGTCGGAATCCCACCTGTCATCTCCCTCCCTTCACCATATGCTAAAACTATCACCGATCAAACGAACTAGGAGTTCCTCCGCCTACATTTTGCAATCATCTATCATCCACTAGCCAGAACCTCTCCAGCATGACGAAATGCACGAGTTCTCCCGGAAATGTCATGCTCGAAGAATGGAATGCCGCCCCTTGCGATCCCTGCGATGCTCTCTCCCCTGCTCAGAAACCCTAGGCCACACAAACCCTAGCACTGCCCGCCCAATCCCCCTCTTTTTTAAAAACCTTGGACGCCCCGGATTGACCCACGCCTTTCGATCCACTGCTCACCTAAAACCCCCGCAAAGAATCGTGTGATGCATCCATCCGCGACATTCCCCCCAATTCCACCGCCTTAAAACCTGGACCTCGATCGATCGAAATCTCCCAGTCTCTCCTCGATCGATCGATTGACCGATCACCGCGAAATTATGGCCGCTCGCAGCAGCATCAATCTCCTCCTGGCCATGGCGATTCTGGCGAGCGGCGGCGGCGGCGCTGTTCTTGGATTTCCCTCCAGGCAGGACGGTGATCCAATCCCGACCTATCGAGGGATCAATTGCAACAAATACCAGCTCTTCACCTGTCTGGCATCCAAGGGCGCCTCCATCCACGGCGATTGCTGCGAAGCGATTCGCAGCGTCCTGAGCCCGCATTGCCTGTGCTCGCCGGAGACCGTGGGACGGACCGTGATCAAGAGCCTCTTGCCGATCGCCACGACCTGCGAGGTTCTTCTCGACATCGGCGAGCCCTGCGGCGGCAACGGTAAGCGATCATCGCATCTGTGCTCCTTGCCAAAATCTTCGATCTATCATCGCGCTGTGTGCTGTTCTTGCAGATCAAAGAACTCCGCCTCAAGATCCCCCAGCGCCTACAATAGCGAATCCAAACCCCTAGACCAAAATATTTCTATGTGACCCCTTCTTTCTTGTCAATAAACCCTAAATTTTCTTTTCGGCTATGGCGATCCAGCTCTCCGCGATGTGCCGGGAAGCGTCCTTTCCATCGCTGAGAAATTCCGGATCGGCAGTAGAATGTAAGTGTAGTAGTCGTCGAATCGAGGAAAAGCAAGCGCGAGCTGCTGAGTTTTGCCCTCTCTACTCGTCTCTGCGATCAATTCGTGTCTCTAGCAGCAGCGCCACGATCCCGGCTCTTCGATCAATGGCGGCATCCAACGGCAGTGTGTCCGTCGATGATACTGCTCCTCCTGGTCTGGCACGAAATTCGTGATCTTTGCTCTTATTCGTCTTTGATTGGCAGTGAGAATAGGAAGGGAGATTCGTAACACGAAGGAGACAAAAGTGGATGTTTCGATCGGTTTGGATGGCACTGGGAATTGCGACTGTGACACCGGCATCCCATTTCTAGACCACATGCTAGACGTAAGTTTCTTTCGCTTTGGACGCCTAGACTCATATCTCCTCTTTTCAGCAAATTGCCTCTCATGGTCTCTTTGATTTGAGCATCAAGGCAGTCGGAGATACTCACATCGATGACCACCACACGAACGAGGATGTTGCTTTGGCTTTTGGAACGGTTCGTCTTGCTATCTTTGTGAACGTTTCGATTAATGGTTTTTTTTCAGGCACTCGCAAGAGCTATAGGGAATCGCTCCGGCATTCACCGCTACGGTGATTTCAGTGTTCCACTCGATGAGGCCCTTGTCCATGTCGTTGTGGTATGTTTTTTTTTTTTTTTTTTCATTTTGCATATGTAATGGTCGAGTTGAACTTGTGTTTTTTGAAGGATTTGTGTGGCAGGCCTTGTTTGAGATATACGGCGACAATCCCCACTCAGCGAGTTGGTCTGTATGATACTCAGGTAGGCTGTTGTGCTGTGGAAATCTAGCGCTTTCTAATGAAATGTCTTGTAGCTTGTTGAGCATTTTTTCCAATCGCTATGTAACACATCAGGAATGACTCTCCACATCCGACAGGTTTGATAAAAGTTCTCAAAGTATTTTTCAAACTTGTGTTCGTGTTCGTCTTCTAGCTGGATGGTACAAATAGCCACCATATCATAGAAGCCATGTTCAAAGCGTTTGCGAGAGCTCTTCGCCAGGCTTGTGAGCCCGATCCCCGTCGAATTGGCAAGGTTCCAAGGTCTGCTTGATAACATATTTCTGGATTGCATTCTTATAGTGCTCTTTGCAGTTCGAAGGGGGTATTGTCGCGAATGTAGAGATCTTTTAAGGAAGGTTTGGTTTTGTTTATAAATACATGTGGTTGCACACTAAGAAAAATTTACTGTTTCTTCATGGAATGTTATTCCTTAAGCCGACAGTCGCAATTTGGGCATGCCTGGTTTTGGTGCGATGGGCATGGTTCTAGTTTTCGTTGTCCTTGTGGCGCTATCTCGCAGCAAAGCAGTATTTGGTTCTCAAGGCGAAGCACTTAGCAGATGCAGCTTCCCTCGAGGCTTTGTATTTGGGACTTCGTCAGCTGCGTACCAGGTAGATATTTTCCTCGATCAATTCTGTGTTTATATTTTGCTCCCTAGTATGAAGGAGCAGTGCAAGAAGGCGGACGAGGACCGAGCATTTGGGACATTTTCTCTCATAATTCGAGTATGCTTTTTCCTTCTTTTTTGCACCAATGCTGTAATATGTTCGTCATTCAGCAAATATTTCAGACAGCAGCAATGGGGATGTTACAGAAGATCAATATCATCGCTACAAGGTACGGAGTAGGCCTTCTTGTCTTCAGAATATCTTTGCTGTCTTGCAGAAGGATGTACTGTTGATGAAGGAAATGTTTATGGATGCTTATCGCTTCTCCATTTCATGGTCGCGCATTTATCCTGGTATGTTATTGCATCGCAGGTTTGTAAATTACATCTAAGCTGCATCCCTTTCGTTTTCTTGTAGATGGACAAAGCAGCCCAGCGAATGGCGAGGGTATTGCATACTACAACTCGCTTATTGACAGCCTTTTAGAGCAAGGTGGAATCTTAAAAGCTTCTTAATGTTTTATTTAAACTTTGAACAGGAATCCAACCATATGTGACTCTGTACCATTGGGACCTGCCTCAGGCATTAGAAGACTCGTTAGGCGGCTGGCTTAATCCTCAGATTGTAAAAGAGTTCACGAAGTACGCAGAGACATGCTTCGATGCCTTCGGAGACCGTGTAAAACATTGGATAACGTTCAACGAGCCCCATTCGTTTGTGAGGGAAGGTTACTGTCTGGGAGTATCAGCACCTGGACGGTGCTCTGGATGCATCGGTGGAAATTCAGCTACTGAGCCTTACGTAGCAGCGCACAATGTACTGCTGTCTCATGCTTCGGCTGCTCAAGTGTACAAAAAGAAGTTCCAGGTTCTAGTTTTCGTTTTTTCTCTTGTGCTCTAATAATTTGGTTACTTGAATGCAGGCTCAGCAGAAAGGAAAAATTGGCATCGCGCTAAATGCTGACTGGTATGAACCATTCTCAAACTCCTCTGCGGACAAAGCAGCTGCGATAAGAGCTACTGACTTCCAACTAGGATGGTATGTGTCTCACATTACTTGGTTTTGGTAATGTCCCTAAAGCGCATTATGTACAGGTTTCTAAATCCTATTGTCTATGGGAACTATCCGCCTGTGATGAGAAGCTATGTAGGCAGTCGCCTGCCTCAGTTCACAGGGAACGAAGCCCGCTTATTGATGAGTTCGCTGGATTTTCTCGGTTTAAACCACTACACCTCAAACTATGCGCGGGATTCGCCAGAAGTTCCACCGAGCATGACGAACTACGACCTTGATTCCAGAGTTCGTTCGTTGGGTGAGCACTTCTCGCTTTCAAAATCATCCGTTGACGTCTTTTCATTGACAGTCAGTCGAGACGGGGTGCCAATCGGTCCCAAGGTAACGACGTGCTTGCTATTTCAACAATCTTTCTTGTGCGTTTCGAGCAGGGTTCCTCGACGTGGCTATATGTTGTTCCATGGGGTTTCAGAAAGCTCCTGAGGTATATCAAGGCTCACTACAAAAATCCAGTCATTGTCATCACAGAGAATGGTAAGAAATATGTGTTTCTCCTCTCTCGTAGTGGCTCCTAACGTAATCGTAATCCTCCAGGAATGGATCAAGCAAGCGGGCACAACCTTTCGCAGTCCCTTGGAGACAAGACCAGAATTGATTACCACCAGGAATACCTTGCAAACTTGAATCTGGCCATTACGAGGTAATCAAACACGAGTTTACTTGACAACAGCATCGATGAACTTTGTGATGAAAGTGCAGAGACAGTGTTGACGTCCGCGGCTACTTTGCATGGTCTTTGTTGGATACATGGGAATGGTCTCATGGCTTTACAGTCCGATTTGGGTTATACTTTGTGGATTATACCAATGGACTCAAGCGGTACCCCAAGATGTCCGCCCGCTGGTTCAGACGACTGCTCTGCTGGAATGTAACTTGCTTAGTAACTATTGTCTGAGAGCTCAGCTCTCGAGCCAATTTCAAGCTCATCTTGCTGTTAGTCAAGCTACTTTGGGAACGTTGTCTTGTCCAATGCAAAAGGATCGGAACTGTCACTAAGACATGTAATTAGTCGTATTTGAGAGCTTTCAACATGCAAAATAGAAAGTCATTGTTGAATCTCTCCTTTAAAACGATGAATAAAACTCGCTACACCTAGGAAATGGAAATACGCTTAATATACATTCTTGCATTTCTCATAACCACAGCATCCGGCATAACATACAGGTACACTCGAGATTACAGGTTTACGCTACACGAAGTGACTGAGCTCTTGGACAGAATCTCTGCCCTTGTCAACGAGGTCAATAATGACACGAGAATCATGATCGGTGGCAGATCAGTTCAAGAGTCACTGGCAGTTGGCGGAATCACAATCTACTGGGCAGCGGGAACTTATGGGCGAGACTTGGAGGATCACTGTTCCTCAACGATTTCCTCGACCATTACAGCCTCGCAATTCAAGGACAACATCAACAATGTCATCAACGTGGTTCGTAGCGAGCTGTGGCGATTTAGAAACGACCAAGGTCTGTATATAGTGCAGCTCATGGCAACAATGGGAGACGGTGTCGTTGAGTTTGAAATCCCAGATTGGACTCCCAAACCCAAAAGGCGAGACGAATTGCTTGAGATAGACACGGAGTTAGAGCAAGCAACTAGGGATTGCTCGGTGTCTAAGTATGAATTGGAGAGCAGTGCCTTTGCGAGTCTCTACAAAGGTGACACTCTCTTGTCACCCGACAAACTCTACATCTTCATTGTAACTTCTACTTGCAATATGATGTGCTTCGAACTGGGAGATGGTGTAAGATTTGTGTGGGCGAGTGGAACAAGCTACCCTCTGGAAAACTGCAGGCTTGCAATCTCCATCCGCGGGGTTCTTATGTTATTCGACGAAATCACCAAGATTATTCTATGGTCCACGCCGGAACAATGCAGCTCATGTTTCAGAAGCTCATCCCTTGCCATGCAAAGAGATGGAAACCTTGTGTTGTATTCCAACAGAATAGCAGTATGGAATACTATTTATTGAGAATTAAATAGTGCTTAATTACCCGTTAACCACGCGGCAGTTAAACCTCTCCCATGGATTTTCAAAGAAAGTCTTTTCATCCCGGACATCACGATGGTGTTTTCACAGAACAGCAGGGTCAACTTTGCACAATGAGCGAGCCACTCGAGTCAGCCGCTGTCAAATATACTGGGTGTTTCCACGTCCAAAACCAGCACAATCGTTTCCTTTCTACGAGGTCTAGAGCTCTAGGTAGTCGAGATTCTTCTCGCCAACGTTGCCAGCAAGCAGGCAAGCTTTTGGTGGGGGATCTAACAGTCCATACAGGGTGCACAAGAAGAACTCCACAACGTCGTCCCTGCTTTTGCAAGTAAGTGGCATTCTATCATCTCATGTTCTTCTCGCGTGAAGCCTGTTTGCTTTTGCCCCGGCTTCGAAAGTCATACGAGTAACACGATTTTGACACTTTAGCAAACTTTTATCATTTTGGGATGCCGATGCGACCCGTGGGGGAAACAACAAACACCTGGAAGTTTGATTCGTATCTCTTTATTCTTGACTTGCTTTCTTTGGGTCTGCCGTACTCATCCATCGAGACAATGCAGGAAAATGACCGAGACTCGGGGAGCAAAATTCCAGCTTTGTTTGCCGAGGCATGTGATGCCGCGGAGAAATTATTCGCAATCAGTTTTGGTGTCCCAAAGCACACAAAGAAGACAGAGGAAAAAAAAATAAAAAAGGAGAACCAAGCAAGCAAAAGAGTACTTAGAAGAGGAGCCTCACAAAAACTTATCAAGCGTCGAGTGGCCTTTCAAGATCCTTGTACCCGTTGTCGTGAACTTTTTGCTCCTCCTGCTTCACCTCCTGCTCGGTCTTCCTCCCCTTTTTGCACTTGTAGTAGACGCTCATGAACGTCCCCACTGCCCTGTACTTCTCGCGGCACGCGTTGTAGAGGGTGGCGTCGAACATCCTCCAAAAGTCGTGCTCGTTGAGCTCCGTCACGGCGTACTGCGGCTGGAAGCCGTGGTTGTCGATGAGCCACTGCTCCATCTTGCGCACCGCCGCGGCGCCGTCGTACTCCTCGCCGCGGAACACCGGCTCCGGCGTGTAGTAGACGCCCACGTCCGTGTACATCTGCGCGTAGCTCGTGTCGCCCTGCCTTTGGTACAGCTCGAAGCTCGGCTCCGGTGTGATCATCGTTTTGATTGGCGTCCGGAACAAGCGGTGTGGGCACAGCCAGATTGGATACACCTGGTGGCAGGGAGCGATGAGATTTGCAAAGAGTTGACGACGCAGGGTGACGCTATCATGCATGCATGGAAAACAAGCATGAAAAAAAAAGAACTTCGAGGATGTACGTACCTCAAAGCGAGACCTTTGCAAAGAGTTTATGAGTCAAGCAAGCAAGCATAAGCAAACAAAGTAAAAGTTCGGTGCAAGGACTGGAAAATGAGAGGAAAGTGCGTACCTCAAATTCTCTGTCCGAGAATTCCAGCGCATCCGCAACTTTGTGGAGCGGTACCAGCATGTCCTGGATGATGTGCCTCTCGTGGTAGTAGTTCCTGATAGCGTCACCCTGCGTCGCCTTGAGGAACGAGACCTTGGGAGGCATCGCCCAGCCCATGAGCCAGCGGAACCAAAACTGGTCCGCGAATGGGAGGATGAGCTTCCCCTCCCAGTACAAGCACCGGGTATGCCTGTGGTAGTACTCCCGCGTTGGAATGTACTCCACGAACTCGCCCTTGTCCAGCGCGGTCTGTGCGTGCTGGTAGAACCACGGCTTAAACCACCACCCTTGCTCGTTGATCTTGTTCCCCCGCTGCTTGGCTTCCTCCCGAGACGCGTATCGTCCCGTCATCATCACCCCTTCGTTCCGGTTGTAGATCATCGCCTCCACGAAGTCTGGAACCTTGTCAGCGCTATCCTGGTCGCCATCGGCCGGGCAGAAGCTATCAATGTATGCCTGCGCCAGATCTCGCAAGCTCCCGCGAACTGGAATATAAGTCACCTTCATGTACTCCTTGACTGGGATGAGCTTGATCTCGGCGGCCACGAGCAGCCCAAGAGTTCCCTGTGACCATGGGATGGCGTAGAAGAGCTCCTTGTGCTCGTTGTCAGCAGTAGCACGGACGAGGCGGCCGTCGGCGAGGATGATCTCGTAAGCCACCACCGTGTCGGAGAAGAGGCCGTAGATGTGGGAGCTGCCCTCGATGCCATAGCCGTTGATGAGGCCGCCCACTGTGAGATCGTCGAGCTCGGCCACCACGGCCAGGGACACACCGAGCGGCACCGTGGCTCGTGAGATCTGGCCCATGTTGACGAGAGGCTCCACTCGCGCGATCATGTTCTTGGTGTCAATGTCGAGAATCTGGCCAAAGGGCGAGAGATCCACCTCGAAGTGGCGCGCGCGCTTGTAGTCCACGTTGCGCATCCCCACCGCGACCCATGGCTTCCTGGCCGTGCAAACGAGGCCGTCCTTCTTGGGATCTCGCTCCTTGAGGCGCTTGATGACCTTGGCGACGTTAGCGTCGTGCTCCTTCTGGCGCTTCTTGTAGGATTTGGAGGCGGACCACTGCGAGCGGAGGTAATCCAGGGAGTAGAAGGTGAAGGAGCACGGCAGCACGACGAGGATGACGATGATCCAGCGGAACTGGACGGCCCAGTCCACCCAGGAGCGCGCCTTCTTGGGGCGGAGAGGCTTCTCGAGGTCGGACATCTGCGAGGAAGAGAGAGCGATGGGGGATTACTCCGGCAGGAATCGATGCGACGCCGCGAAGGACAGATTCTCGCGAGGAATGGATGCAGCGAAGATATTTCGAGACGAATCGGAGGTTTTTCACGAAGAATCCTACTGCATGCATGAAGCACTGTTCTTGTCGACAAAGATTTGGGAGGAGGAGAGGGTAATGATCATGCAATCGATGCCATTGCAAACGGAGTGGAGATTTCGCGAGAAAAACGTACCTCGATCGAAATATTGGAGCTGCGGGTCCACTCGAGATGCCGACGTGAGAGAGCGCCTCTCGCTTCTCACAAACAATGCCTAAATAAAAGAGAAGGCGATTCTACAGGACCAGATTTAATCTTCGCCGTCGGAACCGCTGACGCGTCAGATTTGTTCCTCCACGGAATGTCCACGCGATTTGTATCATAAAAGAATGCCTGGATTGATGCCAATCTCAATGCCTGGCATTTTACTTTTTTCTATAGCTTCAAACGTGGAGGGAAAATTTGTGGGCGCGGGAAGTCCGTACGCGCCATATGGCCCATCTCGTGTTCTAGATTTTCCTTCCACCCAGTGAGTGAGCTCGATAGAAGGTGCTAGGGTTAGCGCCGGGCAGTGCGAGCGGCGATGGCGCTTTGATCCACCGAGGTATGGATTGGGTTTCCGGCCGTGATTTCGAGGCTACATTGTTATGTTGATGGATTCGCAGCGCTTTGGATGAATAATCTCGCGAACTGGATTTCTCCCAAGAACAATGTCGATAGGTATTTGTTCTAACGATCTAAGACCCGCGCTTTAATTCTATTGGATGTTTCAGATGCTCCTGGGTGTCCAGCTTGTGACAATGAACTTTGGAGGTTGCTCTAGACAACAATGTCCACAGGTACTGCTTTTCTTCTTCTATTTTCCTAGAAACTCTTCTTTTGTCTTTTATCAGAGACTCCTGGCGCGCAGAGAAGGCCCGTAAACAAAAGAGTTAACGCTGAAGGTGGTGGTTTCAATGCGGCTTATCCTCACAAAGCTTTCAAAACGGTGGTGGCGATTCCTCCCACTAATGCTGCTGCTGCTACTCCTGGCATGGATGGTCAGTTGTGTACTCCGTTCCAGCAGACTTTGAAGGAGGCATACTCAACGCCGTCAACTGGACGAACACTTACACCGCTCACTCCAAAGCTTTCGGGGAAGCGAGACGTTGTCCACAGGCTTAGACAGCAGCTCAAGAACCGGGACGAGATGATCATGCAAATGCAGACTCAGATTCTAGAGCAGAGCCGGATTATCCATGTGCACCAGTTACGGATCGGTGATCTCGAGCTTCTTTTGACGGCAGCAAATAGATCGCTGTTTGTAGCAGAGCAGGAGATTGAACAGCTGCAAAAGCTGCTGGCCGAGTGCTGTAGTTGCCGGTCCGCTTCGTGCCAAGTTAGGAAACTGGGGAGCCTACATGTTGAAGACAAAGTTTTCAAGGCACAGAAGAGATGGACGTGTGAAAACCAGCACAAGGACATGAGAGATTTGGTCTCTGAAGCAAGAAGGCTAACGGAAAAACTTAAGGTCGTTGGAGAAAATAAGCGAGGTCAGGCACGAGAGTACGAGAAGGAAGTTCGAAGAGTAAGATCAGAACTGTCGGAAGCAAAAAACTTGGCATCAAAGAATGCGTCACTCTTCCAAGCTTGTGACAAGGAGCGAGCGAAGCTGAGTGGGACCTTGACCAAACTCCAGCAAAAGCTCGAGTCTCAGGTTTGTGTAGTTTCTTTCTGTGCCTCCGTGTGTCTTTTTTATATTTAACATCATGCTTTTCCTTTGACAGGCAATCAAGCTAGAGCACAGAAGAGCTAGCAGATTTTCCGAGTTTTCTGGCGATCCCGTTGCTGTTTGCACTGAAGGGCAAGAGTCGGAGAACATGGTTGATGCAAGGTACGGTCTCACTTATTTAATGTTCTTAATAATTTTGGCTTAGTATTTTCACAGTGCACCTATGTGTTCTTCTGCGAGCCACTCCTCGTCAGTTGGGACAGGCATGGAAAGTGGCGACTTCACAGCCGACTGCAGAGATATCCAGTCTCCTCCACCAAGTCAGAGGCGTTGGGAGGACGAAATCTCGCAACTTTCGTTCGAGATGAAACAGGTGGTGGTCAGAGACAAGGAGCAGGATAGTCCCAAGCACAGTACTGAAGAATCGCCCGTGGTTAGAATAGGCAGCCCGGAGGCTTACGTCCGCAGTAGAAGTAGGAAAAACAGCAGCAGCGAGAGCAGCGATGGCAGCTTCAAGAGGTTTGTGTTCGACATGAACCGCGACAGTGGTGGCGGAGTTGTGATGCTCAATCACACCGACGAGAGCTACTTTGGAACGAGGATACTTCCATCGGCAGGAGCAAGCCAGCCAGCGAGTACCGCGACTCTCTCACCGTTTTCGAAGATGATGGCCAAGCTTGATTTGCTGCAGCCATCGCCAGCGGCGTCCTTGACTGATTCTTTGATCGTCGTGGAGAAGATCGAGCGAAGTATTGGATCAGTGGACTCTGCCTTCGATAGAATTCTCTATGACAACACGTTGGACGACATGGTTAGAGTTTGCTCGCCACCCGATGGTTCCGAGTGATTTCAATTTTGGTTGTACATTTTGTTGATGCGTGACCTACCATTCCAGGTTTTTGCCGTGCTTTGGATTACCACGGTTTGTGTGAGGAGTTTTTTAAGCTTCTAGCACTACTATAAACCTGTATACAGCTTTGAAAGTTATGGAGCATTTGTTTGTATTTCCAATGTTGCTACTGTTAAAAAATGCAAGTGGAAGCGGCATGGATTGGCAAAAAAGGTAAAAGCTCTGTCAAGAACTACTATAAAAAAATGCTATAGCCAGTTAAAAAAAGTGAAAGGTGGATAGAAAGTTAAAAAATAGTTTAATAATATACTTTTTTGTGTTTTCTTGCCAATCTCTCTAAATTTATCATATTACTTTTAAACAAGTTTTAAGATTGTAATCATTATAATTCTGATTCCATTTTTGCAACTACCATTCATCTTATATAAATTTCATTTGTTATAATTAATCCCACCCTTCCCTCCAAATATGTTAGCTTTGAAGACAAGAATAAAATTAATATTTTGCCATTGCATTTACCTTATGATTATCCTATTGATCTTATGCTGGGAAAATCATCACCACTTAGTCCTATTTATAATCTTTCACTAACAAATTGGAAGCATTGCACATATTTTGGAGGGTTTTATTTGGCATCTTCTAATGCATTTATTTCTTTTATATACAAAAAGAATGGGTTAATATTTGACTATTGTGGCACAAACAAAGTCACTGTCCCTCCCAATTAATTGAAAGGGTGATGAGTGTGGAAGCCAGTTTTTTATATTTATTATGGCCACCTTCTCATTTGACTAATGCCCCATTGTTGATTTTTTTGATTATATATTTTAATGACATTTTATCTTCTCTGAGACTTAGAAGAATATAACCATCATATTCACTCTGCTTACTATCTTCAAGAATACAGTTTTTTTTACGAAGTTGAAGAAATGTTTTTTTATTTAAATTTGATAGATTGATTAGAATTCAACTCTACAGCTGTGCAATCTATAATTATCATGAATGTTTCAATATTTCTTTGTTGGTCCTATTTATGGGATGATGAGTCTAGCTAATCCCACCATGGCAGCAATTCTAACTCACAATTCTTGAAAATTTTATAGAAAATTATAAAAGTACCTTTAAGATTTCCAATATAATAATTTATAAATTGGACAATGATCCTCATCGAGTTATTCTCACTACTACTATATGTTAGAACTTGTCCAAAGATTAAAAAGGCATCATTACAAAGATGGAGAAAAGGCCTCCTATTGCGGCTTTTATGAATGTTCATTCTTTTTTCAGGGGCTGTATCAAACTCTCACTCGAAACTTGAAGATGAGGATCATAGTCTAGTTTCTACTTGTTCTAGAATTAATTACATATTTATTGGTCAATTAGACCAACTCAAAGCAAAGACTAATCAGAATTTGTGCACTAAGATTCCTGGAAAAAAGTTATTTAAAAACGTTATAGACATTTTGGTAGCCAAGGTGGCATACTACCTTTGCGAGATGGAGTGATCTGATCAAGGCTCATTACAAAAATACTTAATGAGGGACCATGAGAGTGTGAGGTAAAGTAAGTTCTATTCTCCTCAATCGGGCACACGTGGAGAGTAATCACGTTGTATTGCAAGCTTGTAGCTTTCTAAAGCCTAATCTGTCCAATATTGCATATAAATCATACAAAGAAGATATAGAGTTTGTCTAAAGCAAAGGAAGAAAGTCAGCATATAGTTATAGCTATGAAAAATCCAAATAGTTTCAAATTAGCAACTTCTATTTTGATCAGTATTTAAGTTTGGATTTATTTATGTCCCATCTAGCTTTTGCATTGGAATACAAGACAACATTCCCATCCTTCTGGATGACCAATGATGAGCTCATGACCACTGCCTAGGAGTAGACCACAAGCTAACATCTTTTCTGTCAAACAGCCCAAGAACTCCCTCAATAGAAAGCATAAGAACACAATTTGGGGCATGCATTCCACTTGCCCACACAAACCTTGCATCATTTTCTCCCAACTCGAAGCAAATGAGGTTACGTGCACCCGTCACATAGAGGGCATAATGCTTGTCATGGGACAAAAGCAAGCCACCCTCGGACAGCTTTGAGTTGAACGGACTGCTACTCTCCAATTCAAGCCCTGCAACTGAGCAATCTGTAGCTTCTGCTATTCTGATGTATGTTTCAATGTTTCTTTGTTGATTTTTTTCGTGAATCTAGCTGATATGGCCATGGCGGTGGTGCTCGTGGTGTTATCAATGGTTGATAACTAAATTCAAGGATATCTTTATCACGATGGGCCTCAAATTGACGTGGGTAAAGACCTGACTTAGGACTCCTGACGCTCAAGAGTCGAGCTCTCACCTTTCTAACGAGTACACCAAGTTGGATCTTGAAAATGTAGCCTGTGATATATGAGAAGGAGCCCGAAGAGCATCCTTGTCCACCACCAGTGGCGAGATCAGTGCCATACAGACCGCAAGCCCAATAGACGGGTTGAGACCCAATTGTATCAAAACCTTGCAGTGCTCTTGCACCAGTTTCTATCGTTGCATCATCCCTGAGCCGATTTATATGCTCAAGTATCATGTCTAGAGTCCTGTTGAACAACACCTCGACGTTGACATAGTCAGAGCCCTGTCACTGTAGTCCAACAGCTGTGGAGATTATGTAGCATGAATCCCAACATCCAATAAACTGCCATAAGGAAAATTAGTGTCTCGAGTAGAAAAAAATAGGGAGAAAGAGAAAAAAGAGAAAAGTTCTTATAATAAGGAAAGAGGAAAAAGAGATAAAGACAAGCTTATAGTTTTGTCTTAAAACGTTAATTCTAATGCAAATAATTTTCTTATCGTTATAATCCACAAATTAATAACCATGATTCTTCCCTTGGTGTTCTTCACGTCCGATCAATGGTCCCAGTCCATGCTCATGGCTACGAACTGGATGTTCGGACAGTTCCTCAGCACCGCCAAGCCATGTGACAGCCAAGAGGGAAGATTCTTCATGTGTCGGAAAGCTCTTGCCTGGCATTCCAGTAGGCACAGCATTGGCCATCCTTAGCAAATGACGGGTTCGCGAGCAGTATCACGCCGAGATACTCCCCGAAGTGATATCCTTCGCTTCATCGTCAAATACAGTAGTGAAGGAGTCCCACAGCGCCTGAGCGAGATCGATGTCTTGGTTGTCGAAGCCGCTGCAGCTCTCGGCCGTGGCATCCCGCCAAAACTCCTCGGAGGGATCCAGCAGCACGAGGGGAATGGCCAGGCGTCTTAAGGAGGCCCTCTGTAGGCGAGGTAGCGACGGCCGACGGCATTGAACTGGTATGGCTTCCATACCAGATCGCCTGGTCCCTCAGAGTCGATACCTCCTGTTGATGGGATCCGCAGTCGTCTTTAGATCGGATCAAAACTCGATGCTATGCATAACTGGGTGTTGTGTCTCGAAGCACACAAAGAAGAGTAATACAATAGGGAGTCAGTCATGTGCATCGTCTCCATGGATGAGTCCGGCAGAAAGTGAAACATAAAGAGATACGAATCAAACTTACAGCTGTTTGATGTTTGCTACGCTCGCATCGCAATCCCAAATCATAAAAAGGAGTCCTGTTGTTTTGTTACAGTGTCAAAATGGTGTCACTCGTCGGACTTCCGACGTCGGGTGAATCCCGGCTGTGGAAACAACAAGGAGGCTTCACGTGAGAACAACATTTGAGATGATAGAATACTACTTACTTGCAAAAGGAGGGACGGCGTCGTGGAGTTGCTTCTCGTGCACCGAATCCTGTCCGCCAGGGATGGACTGTTTGATCCACCAAGGTCCCAAAAGCTCCGCTTCTTGCTCGTGACTTCGGCCTTGGCGGGCGAGAAGAATCTAGACTTGGTCGCGCTTGGACTCTCGGGAGCAGCAGCTGGCTCTGGTACCCCTGGAGTTGCAAACGAGAGCTTCGATTTCCTCGCGGGCTTCATCTTCTGCTCGGAAGTGAGGGGAGCTGGCCGGCCAGATGGTGGAAGATTGGTAGCCAGGCCTCTCGGCGTCTCGCTTTGCATGGCTTTGCCTCTCGGTGTTGTGGCCACCACCCTCCCGTCCTTTTGCTGGCTTAGCTTCTTTATCATGTCGTCCTTTTGCTTCACTTGCATTGTCAACGCGGCGATGCTGTTGCTCATCTCCCCTTCCTTTTTCCTGTGCTGCCTTTGCACGCGTAGTGCCTCCTTCTCCATCATCTCGATCGCCTTTTTCAGCTCCCTTACGGTCTTCTCTGCGTCACGGTTGACACGAGGGGAGAGTAGTGCAGTAGCCTGGTACTCCGGGAACCGGTTTGGAGATGCCAGGGGATTCTTTACTGGAGACTGCAGCGGATCCTTCGTCACCGAGCTGAACTGAAGCGCTATGTACTTTTGCTGCAGGCTTGCTAGTTGGAGTCTCAGCTGCTGGTTTTGCTTTTGCATTTCTAGAAGTAACTTTGTCTGTTCCTCCTGGGACTCTGGAATTTCCAGCTCTTCCTTGGCAGTGACCTGTGCCAGGGAGTGAGTAACTTAAAATACATATAAAGATGCAGGTCATTACCTTTGTTCGAATTTCTTTGGCTTTGTCAGCCCAGTGAAGTGTGTTTTGAGTCTCACCAAAAGAGACATGGCTTGGCGTGATGTTTGCTATCATGGCAGTTTGGCATGCTCCTCCCAGAGAGTCCTATTATCGCACGGTTCGATTTCACAATTACAATTTCAACTTGTGTACCTTTAGTAGCTGAGTAAGCTTGGAGTTTCTAAAAGGAACATGCTTGTCACCCTCGACCAAAGCTTTGATACATCTGCTTAGTGCAAGCAAGGATTTGTTGATATTCGCCCCCTCTATAGACCTTAAACTTCGCTGGTCGGTAGCCAGTGCTCTTTCCGATCCTGCAAGGTCAATAAGCGAAAGCTTTCCTATCCGTGTAATGGTACTGGTCTCCATTCTCACTTTGTACTCTGCAGTAACCTGTAGCTTGTTTGAATTACGTGCTGACAAAATGGAAAAGTAAAGTAATAAACCTGCAAGATAGCGTGCGATCGAGATGATGTTTCATTGATCCGAGTCGGCTCCGTTGTTCTGTGCTGGTTTCCTCTTTGAAGCAACAGCATGACCTGGACGCATACAACGGAGAGTCATGAAATGCAACTCATCTGGTTACAGAAATCGCTCACCTCTTCCGCGGAAAATGCTTGATAGTGAGTGAGCCCCGCGGTAGTTATTCCCTGTACAACGAGAGCATGAATCGACAATTAAAAAACCAAACTGACACAGACCTTGTTGTCCTCTCGTATAATCAGCGGCCGTCCAGGCGATAGCAAATCCACGACAGTCTCGTTGTAGACCTCCAAGTAAGATAAGCTAACTAAATAATCACCGTCTTTACTTCGGTCCTTGAGCTTGGAAAAGAGGTCCTTAAGTGCCAAAACCATGACGCCGGGCTGACTTACGGTTCCCAGCATGGTGTACGTCTTTCCGGCCCCTGTTGCCCCGTAGCAAAAGACTGACGCGTTTTTGCCTTGAAGAACTGCCTCTACGAGATCAGCAGTACTGGAAACAAAAGAGCGACTTAAAACGGCAAACTAGAAACAAAAGCACCGAGCATACCTGGTATCATAGACCTCTTGCTGCCCAGTGTTCTCGTGAAACACGGCATCAAACACAAAATGGCGGCCTCGGACGCGCTTGAGCCGCAAATAATCCGTTTCCAGTTGCATCTCGGTGAGAAAGATATCCTTCTTGTCAGCAACACGCACAGAACTTCGAGCACCAGCATCCTTTTCCTTCTTGGACAGTGGACGGAGCCGAACGTAGACCATTATCCTGCCAACTTCTTCAGGATCATCGCATTTCCCTCGAAGAAAATGTGATCTCAAGTCCCTGCGCCTGGATCCCGACCTGGGGGTGGTGCTCTCCCCTTGACCCTGCGGCGAGCTCGTCTTCTTACACCCAAACTCGATGCCTGTTAGCACGGGCCGATCGTTGATATTCCGGTTTCCACACGAAGGAGGAGGAGTGCTGTACACCACAGTGGAGGAAACTGGTGGTGGACAAGCCAAAAAGCTTTCGTGCTGGATCCTTCCCTTGGACGAGCATCGCAGTAGCATCTTGCTGATTTCGTCGCTATCATCCTCTATATCCATCGGGACCACCTGTGCTTGAGCTTGCCTAGACGATGATCGAGTCATGACCCGGGGCGTGAAGAGACTCACACTGGCATGGCTAGTCTTGAGTGGCTGCTGCTGCGAGGAATTCTGGAAATTTTCTTGCGGCGGCTCAGCGTTCTCCTTGAGAACCGACTGTGGAGCGAGATTTCGCTGCTTCTCTTCCACGAATCCGGCGGCATTGCTCAGCTTGCATCCCAGTGGCGTCTTTCCCAGTGCAGACTGTGAGCGCGTCACAGGCATTTCTAGCCGCACGCATTCCCGGGAGGGAGGAAGCGAAGAACTCCCCCGGAGCGCTCGATCCCTAGAAAACCTACCTCGGAATTCGATGGCGCTGCTTGAAATTCCTCACGGCCACGCGATTTCCGTCGCACAGATCGAAAAAATTTCCTCCCTCTTCTCGTGGTATCGCTCGCTCGCTTCGCGCATACAATGCTCTTCTTCAAGCTCCCATAAATTGGAACGTTGGAGTTACCGGTTGCAGCCGGTTGCTACTACCGTCTGTAGCCGGTTCTTTGGTTTTGAAAGTAGCCCTAATAGAAAAATGTATTAAGTGTTGTTATTATTTACATTTGAATAAAATATTATTTGTAATATGTATGCAAACCTTTTCTTTTAATAATTTTATATACCATAGGCAGTTAAAAGTGCACAAATATCACAAAACATTATTTATATGTGAAACTGAAAAGGCAAGTCTAGGTAAAGTAATAGATTATATAAATTTTCCAAAAACTCACCATTATACTTTTAATATTGTTGTCGTTTGTTTAAGAAATGATTTGAAGAGGAGTTTGATTACTTAAATTTAGCTGACTTAGTTACCTCAGTTTATTTCTTTAAAAAAGAACACCCCATCTACTTTAGAGATAACAATCCAAAGCAAAAGAAGGAAGTTAGAAAATCACTATTCATAAAACACAATAAAAAGATTTTTATTGTGTTTAACGTAGCCTATGGACACATGCCATCTTCTATTGTGTAGATGTTTAAGATATTCCACTTCCTGGAATATTCCTTGATAGAATATTTTCTCCTTCTTATGACTATATGGAAGGAATTGACATTGTATTCACTTCACATCTGTAGAACTTCTCATGGCTATAACACATTAAGTGTCAACCCCCTTAACATGGCAACTATAATGGCCTAGAGAAAATTCTCATGCTCCTTGTCCCACATAAGCTAAAACTTTGCTCGAGCACCTTGAGCACTTCCAATGCCAGGCTTCGAATGCCAGTCCCTCCCACCGGCACTTGTCCGATTGGTTCTCCACGGACACAAAATCGAAATGTTAGGGCAACATTGCTGTGGCGCCACACCATAAACCCTAAAAAAAATTAAAACTTTTATGGATCGGATGGAGGTGGATCGGGCGGCAAGGGTCGAGGCGGCGCTAGCAGGTGAATGCTTCAGTGTGGATTTCGTGGGCGATGCACACCGGCAGGTTTACCGGCAAGTTCTAAAGCTTCGCGAAGATGCCAACATAAGCATGCACTACTCGCCCTACTCTCCCTTCGTGCAATCGTCCTGTGTCGGCAAGACGAGGTGTGTGCTGGAGATGTCCACACTGGGGGTCTACATTTGCTACTGCAGCCTGGCGGGCAAGGACTCGTCAGCTTATCCGCCACGGACGGAGTTCCTCGCGGACAGGCTCGCCGAGAGCTTCACCGAGCTGGAGATGGTGCTCTACTTGAATGCTTGGGTCCTAGTCCTGGCCGTGGCATTGGAGAAAGGAACTTCGGCCGTGGAGTGGAAGGACAGGCAATTACCTGGGAGCAATTCCGGCATCGCCCAAGCAGTGAGGGAGAAGTGGGAAGAGCTCATTGCTTCACATCCAGCAAAGGGCTATGAAGAGGACAAGCGTGACAGGGATCTCGTGAATGGTGAGATTATGAACGATGCATTGGAGCGGGTGCAAGAGCTCTTGGATGGTGATCACGACGATGAAGACATGGACATGGACAGGATGGATTCGGACAGCCAGGGCGAATTGGTAAATCTTCGAGTCATATTCGTGTTTGACGAGGCCAGGGGTCTGACTCTGCCATCAGACACCCCATTCTCTCAACTCCGCCGGGCGCTCAGAGTTTTTTTCGTGTGGACTGCCTACTTTGCGCTCCTGCTGGATACAACTGCGAAAGTGAGCAACATTTTGCCGAGAAAGAGCGACGAGGACAGTAGCAGGGCCTTGAAGATCGGGATCTCCTTGCTGCCTCCGATCTACTACTTGCCAACACTGCAACTAAACATGCCCAAGCCGGGCCTCAGCGTTGTCGAGTATAGCGCTCCATCAACCTGGATGAAGTATGGAAGGCCGGTGTGGGCCGCCAGAATGGCTCGGGAAGGACAGAGTGAAGTGGTTTTGAGGACCAAGTTGTTACCGTGGGCTCAGCAGAAGCTCATGGGTGGTGAAATCAGCGACGAGTTCGCCAAGGACGGGAAGATGACAGAGAGCCAAGCGATGGCATTGCTTGCTGCTGCAACAGGCCTGCAGGTGTGTCCTCGCTGCCCGCTGGCTGAGAAATTGGCAGCGTCGCATATGAACCTCGTGTTACGGGTGACGAGAGACAGGTCGCGGGTTTTTGTTGCGCTGCCGGCAGAGCCCATCCTCTCAGAGGCAGCTGCTGGGCTTCTCAGGTCCGAAAAAGTGAAGCAAAATGCTCTGATGCATATGGAGGCGGCGTGCTTGGCTGGCTACGCCACTGGGGGACCCCGTGGCGAGTTTGTGGCCAAGTTTATCTTGGCTGCTGCGGTTTGGGACTTGGCCAAGGCAAAGCAATCAGGTGGCTGGTACCTTCGACCGATCAAAGTGCGGGACTTCTTTCGGACGCTGCTTGTGAACAATAAGCGGGACATAACTACGAAGGAGGCGTTCAGCAAAGTTGTGTCCGGGCTGCCCGCAGGTGGTCTCCTGTTCTTCCATTCTTTTGTGGTGGTGGGAAAAGTCCCAGATACTGCATTGCTGTGCCGATGCTTCGCAGGAGGTCTTGCCATCATGTATCAAGCGGACAACAATATGCCCGGTGCCAATCTCATTCTTCCTATCTGGACTCCTCAGGGGATGACTTGCTGTGTTGTGTCCGTGAAGAATCAGTCGCACAAGGGCTGGTGGGAGGGACCGTCATTGGAGTTCCTCAAGTCTGAGTTCACCAAGCTCAAAGTTGGCACTAGGATACCCATTGTTATTGTCCTCATGTCAATGCGGGAGCCAGCAGTTGCTGCCCCAAACTCTTGGATTCTGTGGGATGGGGAGGATAAGAGATATCTCCAGCTGACATGCTATGGCCTTGATGGCAACTACGGTTACCTGTCCATGGAGGTGAGGGGCTTGCTCAGGAACATACTTGTAACCAGGCCGGATCCTCTTAAAGATGCAGAGGATATTGAAGCCGAATGGATCAAGAAAATGCTGCCGTATCAGTACGAGGAAGTCCCTGACTTTGTTGTGTCTTTGGCATGAGTACAAACTGAGGTACGAGTATAAAGTGAGGTTGTGTTCAAAACGCTATGGTCCAATGGTTTGCTAAGAAATTATGGAATGTTTTTATGGCATTTTGTTACTTTCCTCCAAGTTGGATTTTGATTTTTAAAAAATAGTGTGTTTACAATCCCCCTTCTTTTCCTATCTTTAAATTTATAGATAGCATGTTCTAGCACAATGGATTTGCTGAGATAGCTTCAATGAGATAGCTTGAAATAGTCAATACTTGAATGAGATAGCTTGAAAGAGTCAATACTCCACAAACCAAATGTAGTAGTGTGAAAAAACAATGAAAAATATGGTTCCAGCATCTATAATCATAGCAAGTTCTTCTTCCTTTGCCAAACGCAGCAACAAAGCAAAAGGGGTGGTACACACCTGTTATTAGCATGTAGAAATTTAAGAAAAAAGAAAATACTTACATTTACATGGTGTTAAGATTGTGCTTCTTCTGTCAAGTATGTGTTCTTTACAAAAGTTGTATTTGCCATATTCCACGAGGCAAGTTGTAGTTGTTGTTGATAGAACACCATTGATAAGTGCTGTCACTGGTGTTGCCTTTGAATATTGGAGTTCTCCAGCTTTCAACGAGCTCTCAACTGCAGAAAAATCACGAAAGTGAGCCTCAAAAAGATCTTCATACACTGGAGTAGGGATCCCAAGATTTCTCCTTTGAAAGTTTGGCATTCCTTAACAGCTTGTCCTCGTCTCGTTCAAGGTTTCCAACAAAAATTCGTACTTATGCTTTTGTTGTAAGATCACTGCCCGTGACTTTTTGAAGTTTTTGCCGTGTGGAAGAGCAATTTTCAGCTTGTCTCCAGAAAGTTGTGTCAAGTGCTCAATTATATGTTGCAGTAGAATATCCTGTTCACTATCTAGCTGCACCAACTTGGCCTTGTTCACTCGTTTCATATGCTCATTACATTGAGCATTTTGTTTTAGCTTAAGAAACAACAAACAATCAGGATTATCATTGCAACCAATTTAAAAAGATCAAGAGTGTAGTTCACAGATGGAAAACGCATCCACATTCAAGCTTGTGTGGTGCAAAATAGTTGCATGTTGACAATGCTGAGGTGGTAGTTTCGTACTGATACTTCTTGTCCTCAACGTCAAAAGCCTTCTTCAATGTTGAGCTAACAGCACAAAAAGGTTTGTACTTTGCTCGTAGTAACTTCTCCCACCTACTAAGGACCACCACCATAGAATATGAAACCTTAGATTGTTGAACAGAATCAACAGTATAGTGAAGAGTGGTTGATGGAGACTCATAAGAGATTTTCTTCCTTTTCTTGCTGCTTCTAGGTTTAGCCTCAATTTTGGTACAGGTTTTGGTACCACTAATCACCATTTTACCACTGTCACTTGTCCGACTTTTAGGTTGAGGCTCATTGTCGGAGCTAAGTTTCAACCTTGTCTTTGGACAGCACTGCTTTTCGTGGGCTTCTGCGGACCAGCTACTACTTCTTCCTTGCTCTTTTCTCTTGCATCTTCTTCAAGTTAGTCGCTCTAGAAACTGCATAGGAGTACCAATTCACTTGACCTCTTGTGAGCTTTACTGCAAATGCCCGAGCAAAGCTAATACTCACTTGCCCATTGGTAAAGTTGTCGCTCTGGAAAACTCGACGGTGAATCTGTCAAATGACTCCTTCAGCGTTGCAAATGTATTGAGCCATAACCAAGCAACTTTGTAGTCGGTTAGCAACTTTGTCTCGTGCGCAAAGACGGTCTTGATCCACTTGCGCCATGTCCCAAACTCGATCCATTATCTCTCGTTTGACATGGTAGCTGTGTCGATCAGTCAGGCAAAGTCCCACCTTTGGGAGAAGCTCGACATCATAGAACTTGTCATCAAACTTGCGGACTTTTGACATTACTGCCTGCTCCTTCCAAATGTTGGCGCCTGGCCATGGCTCCTGCCGCTGCTACTCCTCCCTGTTGCTGCCGCTGCCGTTCCCTGCTGTTGTCACTCACTGCCGCTGCCGCTGTGCCGCTCCTTGCCACTGCCTTCCACTACTCACTAACACTACAATTATTTCAAATAAGCTATGGAAATTGATTGGATTCAATGGATCAAAAACCTCTAATTTAAGCTTCTGGAGGAGCTCTAGGAGCTGCCAAAACTCCTAGCATCAGCTACTGCTCTATGTAGCACTCATGATCAAACCAATCTACTTGTGGTTGAGCCTTTTATAGTACCACCCGTCCATGTCCTAGCATGATCCCTATGCATAAGCCATGAAAACTGCTTCACAGTGCCAACATTAAGGTTGAAGATTATTTCACTGCACATGTTCATGCACACCTCAGCAGCCGCCAGAAAATAAGAAAAGCTATCTATAATAGTATGAATCCATATGTTCTATGGAGCAAACGTACACCAACCTGCAAGAGAATTCACTGGGCAAGAGAAGCATAGGAAAAAAATTCTACTTACTGTCAATATACTAAATTCTTATAGGAGCAGTGATATTGTACACTTGCTTGTTGATCACTTGTTTAAACCCCATTGCCTATTGAATAGGATCGATGATTTGTAGCGCTCAACATACATGCCAATCTTGATCCCAACATGCCTTAATATGCCATGTGTATTTCTCACTCCCCAAGTACTCCTAGCTACATCTAGTAGAAGGAGCTCTCACAAATTGGTTTTCCACCCATAGGTTTTCAATACATTCTGGAGGTAGTGCTCTAATGAAGGCCCTTGCAACCTGCTTCATACTCCAATCACACAAGACATAATCAACTTCTTTAAGGTAATGTAAACCATGGATCATGCTACTTTGGCTATCCAAAGCTGTGCTAGAACCTGTGCTAAATGCCTCACTAGAGTCACTAGACCTGTCTAACTCACAAACATAGCTCGGAACTTGATGCAGTCAAGAGCTGGTGCCTGCCAGTTGGAGTTGAGAGCTCTAAACCCTACACCAAGGCCAGGATGCTGCTGCGAGAGAGCCGTGATAGTTGCCTGAAGATTTATTCCCACAGTGTCACTACTGCCACTTCCATAGTTGCAGCTAGACGTGCAAACGTTCAAACGCGTCCACGTTTAAACGCCGTTTAAAACGTTTTTTTCAGGGCAATCAAACGTTTACATGTTAAAGCCTAAAATGATTAGGAAAACACTAATATTTACTAAATACACTTTAATCTGATATTAAGTTTATAAAACCCAACTGATAAAACAAATGAAAGAAGAAGCCGTTTTAGTCGTCTTCTGATTCCGAATCGTCTTCCATTCCTTCATCAATGCTAAACTCGTCAGCAACCTGATTTGGTTCCTCAAAAGCTTCTTGCAGATCCAAAATCCTCTTCCAATGAGGCTCCAACTCCAGCTTGTCTATATCAATCTCCAGCATCCTCAAACCTTCACTCTCCAGCTTCTGAACAACCCGCAAGTTTGTATGAATGTAAACCAGCTTCTCAGCATTTTTGGGAAGCAAGCGGGACCTGCACTTTGTTTGTATCAAGCTCCATGAGCTCCAATTCCTCTCACATGGAGAAGCGCAAACAACCTGGCTTAAAATCTAGAGAGCCATGCAACGTAGATCAGGCATCTCTAAACCAAAAGAACTCCACCAGGTTACTGGAAACTTTCTGGTCTCCCGATCCTTGGCAACAGGTAACCTCATTTGCCGTCCAAGCTGTTGCCGAAACCTCTCAAACTGTGCCTGCAATCTCAGCTGCAAGTCCAGATCACCTCCACTATAAACATGCATGTACTCCAACCAGTTCCCGCGTGCCTCATTGTCCAGCTTGTCGTTCTCTGGGTTATCCCCCAGAAACAGAGGATGAAGAGCAAAAGCAGCTCCATGAATGACGTTGTGCATTTGATACCACCTTGCCTCCTTCAGACCGTGTGATTCAAGTAGGAAATCCTTGATTTGTCCCACTTCCTCATGTGCATAAATTCCGTTTCGAGCTCCCTCGTCCATCTTCTCAATCAGCCGATCAACAGCTTCAAAGATGAGGCCTGAAGTCGCCCCCTCCCGATCAGCGAGTCGAAGAACTCGAAGTAAAGGTCCGAGCAAAATTAACAAATTCTCGCACCGCTCCCAGAACGAGTCATTGAGAACACGAGATCGCAGCTCCAGGCCCTCCAGCTTCTTAGACCAGTCAAGTCGCTCCCATTCTTGGCTCACCACCATTCTTCGAAGCCCGGAGAGATTCGTGGTCTCCAGAAGCTGAGACATCACGAGAAAAATATAAGCAAACCTCGTGGTCACAGGCTTTATCAGGTCCCGTTTGCAGAAAGTTCTATAAAGAGCTAGAACCCGTGGCTTTGAGGTGATGAAGGTAACTATCTTCGCACAGCCATCGACGAAAGGCTGCACCCAAGACAGAGCTCCAATATCTTCAAACAGCAAGTCCATAACGTGGCAAATGCAGCGAACGTGTACAATCTGTGGAAACTCCTGCTGCAAAAGCTCCCCCATGACCACGCAGTTGCTTGCATTGTCTGTCACCACCTGCACAACGTTTTCTGCACCAACCTCGGCAATCACTTGTTTCAGCTGCTCAAACAACCATGCTCCGGTTTTCTTCGCATTCTTGCTGTCCACAGCCTTCAGGAAAATTGAGCCTCTCACAGAACTAACCATGAAGTTGATAAAGAGACCGCTTCTTGATATCAGACCAGCCATCCATGACAATGGTACAACCATATGTCCTCCAACTTAGCCGCACATCTTCAAGCCGCTTCTGAATGTGTTGTATATTCGTTGTAGCTCAGTTGTCCGCAACTTCTCATATCCCATGAGGTTGTCAATCGCTGGACGCCCCACTTTTGCGGCAACTTTCAGCATTCTCTTCAAGTTGTCTCTTCAGATTGTGTTGAAGGAGATGTTCTCGGCAAAGAAGAACTCTGCAACAGCATCATCCAGTGCCTCAGCCGAAGCAGTATCAAAAAATGTCACCAAATTTCCATCCGAGGATCTACGTTTCGCTGCTCTGCTTGTCCCAGCACTGGACCAGTTCTCCGTGCTTGCCACCATAGATTCTGCTGGCCCCCCTGAACCCTGTGCGGCTTGCTGCAGCAGATGCCCATCATCAGCATCTGCTGGGTCTGCTAGCTCGAAATCGGAAAAACTGCTGCGAGCGTTTTTAAGAACTTCATAAGGGATCTCCCTCATTGCCTTGCACGTTTTCACACCTCTTGCCCGAACTCCAGCGAGATGTGCTCGCACTCGCTCTGCTCCCCCAGTGTGAATCTCATGACAATACTTACATGTCCAGTGCCGCTCTGCTCGTATCACATGCTTCCAGCTCCAGCATTCGCGGCGTCCTCCAATTCCTGACATGACCCTGAAGAAACCCTAAAGAAACCCTAAAGAAACTCTTGTCTCTTTTCGCAAATAGTGCAAACGCGTTGGGAGTTTAAAACGGCGTTTTTTAACGCGTTTAAAACGTTACGTTTTTTTAGTTTCATACGTTTTCCGGCAACTATGGCCCACTTCTGCTGAGGAAACCTATACCACCTAGCTGCTGCACTAGAGCGCTGCCACCCAAATTTTGCTAGGGCTGGGAGTTGCTCCCGCCTTGCTGCTGCCTAGCAAGTGGCCCTAGAGGCAATTGTAGCTTCAGCTGTGCTGACGTGGCTTCCATCTAGTTTCATGTGGAGGCAAGGGCGGTATGTACGAATGCCTAGAGTAGCTGCTACAGCAATGATTTCTCCCCTCACTATCACCACGATGGACAACGTGACACGTGGCAAACCACCTGGGAAACTTCAAATGAAATTGATTCTATTTCTAGCTTTCCCCATTTCTCTTTTTCTTTTCTTTGTTTTTTTTTTTTCTTTGTTCTTTCATTTTGTTTCTTCTCTTTCCAGAGTATACGCCGTGTGTAAGTTTGCAAGCAAGGATCCAGCCAGCCAAAAGCATTTTATCTATAAGATGAACAGGTAGGTTATAGGAGACTTATTGGCAGGAGAACACAGTAAGGTAGTGCTTGTTTCTAGGGTACAATTTTTTTCTTTTAGCCTTTCTCTTTGCCAACATCCTCTAAGCACCTACACATTACCGAGTAAGATGTATGTAGGCTAATAACCGTAATTGGCCAAGGAGGTGGCCCCCAAGTCTGGGCATGAGAACTGAAGAAGCTTGGCCCTGGAAGCTGGAAGGATGCCTCCAAATGAGTAGAAGGCCACTCATGTTGCTGTGCCAAGTCACATGAAGAAGTGTCGTGACAAATGCTGCAAAAGATGCCCGTGTGTGGGAAGACAAGTGAGTCCTGCTGGAAAGTGGATGAAGAGAAGTGAGCTGCACTCCTCCAAAGAGCCATGATGCTGTGAAGAAGTCGGGCTGAGAAGGTCGCAAAGCTGTGGGTCGAGTCGTCATGAAAATCCGAAGAGTGGCTGTGATGATCCGCTAAGGAAGAGTTCGTTGAAGATGCCTGTGCCATATCTTGGCCTGGACTAATATAATGAACAGGTCCTCCAGGTCCAAAAGGATGAAGTGCCCAAGCTGGAAAGTCTCCTCAAAAATGCTGGAACATAGTTTCAATCGGGGAAGTCTGATGCCTCATAAAGAGCTGCTACTGGATGAAGTGATCTGTGAGAGTAGGCAGCGGATGAAGAGTGAAAGACTCCATGAATAGAAGTTGTGCCACCAAGAGGGAAGCGTGGCAACTCATAAGTTGTAACACTCCACGATGAAGTGCACGGAGCTTGGAGTGGTAGAGCCTGTAAATACAAGATTAGTACAAAAATATAGACAATAGTGTAGATACAGGTCCCAAAGAAACGTGTGTAATCTCCCAAGGCAGCATGTGGAGCAAAGAACTTCTCATCTGCTGCAGATGCCGAGATCTGGAAAATGCTAGAATCTCTTGAATCTCGCTCCTCCAGAGGATCCTGGGCCTCCATGAGCAGGACCAACTCCAAGGGAGTTCCCTGGTGGATAGGAGTCACCACTTCTTCAAGGTTGAAATCGCTGGAAGCAGGGAAGAAGAGGTCACCACCTTCATGGGGAATATGCTGCAAAACTGTTGAATATTTATTACCCAAAATGGGATTGCTATTAGGACTATACAATAAGATAATGAGAGAACTTAATGCTATCTATTAGCAATATTAAATACCTATTTCTCAGTATTGTTAGAGTTATTGAAACTAAGTAATGTAAGACTAGTAGCCTAAGTAATATTTAACTTAGGAATTCCATCCTTATGCCCAATTTAAGTACATTTGAAATATTAATAAACATAATAAAAATGGGTTTGTACCTCTTGCGATCATGGTAGTAAGTGTTAGTGCAAGAAGTCAGGTTCACTACAAGCTCTAAGAATTAACAATAACAAATTTGCAGAATTATATACTTGGAACAGTTTCACAAATAAACACTTATTACAAGTTTGGACTAAATTGTGTGGTGAACTTTATCAAGCTTTGAGGAAGGCAATAGCAAGTTTGCTGGAATGGCTAAGCAATATAACATGATAAGTTAGACAAAAATTGAAAGATTGATAAAAATATCATTTCATTTTGTGTTTATCTTGGGCATGGTGACTCTTATCTTGGATTCCATGCTCAAGCTACATTACCGATCGTATGAAGATTCCTCTATTGGTTCCAGCTCTTGGCTTTTCCTACCATCATATACTTTCACATCATCCCACCATCTCTCACATCCAAACACAGTCACAAAATTCCATACCATGTTCTCTCCACACGCGCATTCATCACTATAAATGCCATCTCATTTTCATTCCGTTTTTCATCACCTTCAGCACTTTTTTTTGGGACATTTTGGCCATCACTTTATTTGGCACATCATTCTCTATTAGGAGAAACAAACATCACCTCTTTTGGACTTGTCCTTCACACAAGATCCAGCTGGGACTTCTCGACATCATCTATGCCATCATCTTTTGGAGCAACTCTCTTCCAGCTAGTTGAACCCGGTTTCCCCAGGCAACTTGGCAGACTATTTGGTGTGGAATGCAGCAGACACCCTCTTCCATCAGCTCCAGCATCTCAGCGGGCAAGTGCCACCTCTTCTCACGAAGTTCCAGCGAGTTTATCATCATCTACGGCTGCTTGTTCCAGATTCAAAGACATCACAATTGAGCACGTCTCAGACAATCCACATCACTTTATTACTTGGCTATGATCACTTCTCTTTCACATGATTCCATTCCATCCATCTCCAAATCTGCAGTTACCACGATTGGGCAACATTTCCCACCTTCTACCTCGCTTTCTTCTCTAGTTTCGGTCATTCCCTTCGGGCAAGGTTGGGATCAACAAGATGCTGCATGTGCATATTACCATTTCCTGAGCCAAGATCCAAGTACGTGTCCCATTCTCTTGGTACTCACAACTTTGGGTGTCTAGTTTGCGTTTAGAGTATTTCTCACAAGGTTTTCCCTCTAACCCCAAACTTACCTTTATCTTTTTTCTTTTCTATCACCTTATTATTTTATTTTCAGTTTCTCTTTTCTTTTTCTCTTTTTTTCTCCTCTACTTCTCTTGGATCCAGCAGTTTCTGTCTCTGGGCATTTGGTGCAGAACTTCACTACAACATCTTCAACATCCAAGTCATGGGTTCTTGCGACGACGAAGCCTGTCATGATCCCTCTTGGTCACCTATTGTGGCCGCTGCCAAGCATCTTAGCTAGAGTGAGAGGTTATATTCCGATCCCAGAATATTCTCTCATCTCCTTGTAGCAGACTCCGCCTGGGTCAAAGTTGGGGAGTTGCATCTAGATGGAGCTACTCAACCAACCTTACATGGATTGCTCCAGATTAATTGCAGTGCAAGTTTGACGGCACCTGAACCTCTGAGACCATTGATTAAGTGGACCTGATGATATCACTGAGAGGGAAATTGTTGCTAGAAGACTGAAGACCACATTGTTGCCGTTACAGAGCTACTGATCTGTGGTGGGACGGAGTCTATGGCCATTACCTTTTCTAGTCCAGATAATAAAAACTAAACATCTTCAACAAACGCGCGTTCAAAGTGGATGTTCTTATGTCCTTGCTCCTGTATAAGACAAGTTTGTAAATGTAATGCCAGTACAAACAAGATCTAAATAATATTTGTGTTCCCCCAGGCTCGTAGCCACACGGTGGACCAGGCAAGACCTCGCAGCTTTAGAAGGCATGGAACGTTAAGAATTGGTGAGCTTGGTGTTGCTTCTAGCTGCATCAGACAAGTTGCTCAAATCAGTGGAAGCACTGGTAAACTTCAAGTTCTTGCGACTGATTCAGTAAAGGAACAAGGATCAAGCTTTCCACAGTCTTCTTGAGCATGTTCTGGAGCATGTCGATTTGCTCTTGGTTGGCAAGTTCTGCTTGAAGGCCCCTCCACATACTCCGGAGGAACTCACTCCATGCTTTGGCGAGCCCTTGAATAAGTCTCTCAATCGGTAAGAGGTGACATTGTTGAAGGTTTTAAGGAACTGTTGGATCTGAACTTGAACGTGTTGCACAACTTGAGCATCATGAGGGCATCAGTCTTCAAGTTACAAACAGTGTCAAGCATAACATTCCATCCCACCAGAAGATCAGTCACTGCAGCAGGATTTCTTTCTTGTGCTGAAGATGTCGAGTCTGAATGTTGTACACAAGGTCTTTATGCTTCAGGTATGTCAGCGATGCTTGGGAACGATCTATGGAATCAGGGAAAAGTCCAAGGTA